AAGGTCCTAATAAATAAACAGTTCAGAGGCGAATGGTATGAGCACACACATACCAAGAAGTTCTTAGTAACCAGGATCTGTACTGCCTTCCCCTTAGGTGATACCCTGAAACCAACACAGAATTCCTGTCCTTGTTTGCTGCGGATGGGTTTAGCTGCAGCTATCTGCCTGTAAGTTGGAGGAATTTTCTAAGTCTGTTTCACTTCTGTGGTGCTTTCTAGAAAGTGATCCAGCCTTGTGGCTTATCACTGGCATCATACTGGCATCACTGCAGCGGCACCTGGCTGGACTCATGGGCCTCCTCCCAAATGATAGGACTACCCAGGGGGAAGAGAGAAGAAAGGAGGAAAGTACTGCAGGCATCAGTACCCCTCTGAGCTGGGTTCAGTGGCCTCGGCGGGCAGAGTTACACCAGGACCTCTCATTGCCTGGGATGGATTTCCTACCAACTACTCTCAAGAACCAATATTGGGAGGCAGCCAGTGCTGGACACCACAGGAGGGTCATATGTCCCCCACCTCTGCCGCCCAAATGCTGGCTAGACACAGCAGAGACTGGGGGAAGGTCCGCAAGGCCCTGCGTGCAATGCAAAAAGAAGCAGGGCTGCTGGCAGTTCCTGAAGAGGCATTTCCTCCGGCTTGGGAAGATGGCAGCTGGGCCTGGTGAAGGAGTCCCTGGGCATCTGAATCAGGCAACAGCCTCACCACCTCTTCCTGCCAGGACCTGCCTCTCCGTGTGCTGAGCCCTATTATCTTTTCCATGGTGCCATGTAACATTTCAGAGTCCCCTGCCAGACTGGATCCACTGAGTGACTAGAGACGGCACACTGAGAAGGGATTCAGCAGAAGCAGTTTTGCAGGGTGCGGATGATTACCTGCTGGAGTGCAGAGGCGAGCATTCCAACAGCCTGGGAAGCATGGCTCAACCCGCAGAGGCGGCCAGCACCTGCAGAGCCCTGTCTGCAGCTGGGAGAAAGCATACCCACCGCAGGCTCCCACTCCGGGTCCTCCCACAGCTCAGCCCGCACTTCCTCCTGCTCTATGGAGCCCCGCGGCATCCTGTTCCTATGTTGGCACAGGGGATCCCAGAACACAGAGCCCTTCTCCAACCCCTCCATCTGTCGTCTCCTGTTCCCCACATACAGGGGGGTGTGGGGAGCAGCCAAGGAATTCCAAGGAATGCATTTCCAGACATTCTGCAGATACTGACGCTGTGCCTCGTGCTCAACCTTACAGACACTGGGACTGTTCCTATACATCCCTGTGATGAAGTTCAGTTTCTAAATTAGGCATGCACAAAATTCACGAAAGGCAACTGTAACACTATGCTGTAGAAAAACTCATTTAACACATTCATTACTTATTTCTGGAATTTTCCATGTCATTTGGACTGCAGTTAACAGGAGCTGTGGAAACTATGGGTAGTGGGTGAAGGTGAAAGAAGCAGCAGCTAACCGTACTTTTCCATGTGACCTCTCTGTGACATTAGAATTTACATTCCAACCTGGACATCCTCCCGGGCTTCATATAATCAGCTGCCTATTTGAGCTCATCATGTTGAGTCTAGAATGGCCACAAATCTTCTCCCCTTTTCCAGCATCACATCACAAGAGGCACCCAGGTGCCTCACCTAGCCGCCTGGGATGCCAGCAGCTCATGCCTGAGTGCCTGTTCTTGAGCCTGGCTTTGCTCTCCATCATGGCTTCTTGCTCATGAGCAGATGAAAGCTCAAGTTGTTGGGTCCCTGGGAGAGACCCAGAGGAGTTTTGGTTCCCAGTTCTGGCCTAGCCTAATCTTGGCTATTGTAAACATCTGGAGAGTGAACCAATATAGGGGTAAATGTTTCCCTCCTCTCTTTCTGCCTTTCAAATTAAAAACAAAAACAAACAAACAAACAAACAAACAAAACACCTCAACACCTAGTAACTGAAAACAGCAATAATCATGACTTTTTTTGTTTTTTTTTACAGATCTGTTTGTTTCAGTGGGGACAGTTTCAGGCAGCAACAGCTGAGGCAGATCAATGTTGAGCTGGAAAATCCTCAGGCCTGTCACCTGGGAGTGCAGCCTGGCATGCAGGAGAAAGGCCAGTGTCCCACTCCAGCCAGCCTCGCTGCAGGCAGCTCTGGCCTTCTTGAGGTATAGTGACTGAGCTCCAAGCATGAGGATCCCAAAGAGACGAAGTAGAAGCTACCCATGTCTTGAGCCCTGGACCTGGAAACCAGCAGTCCGCCCTTCTGCCTAGTGGGAGTGGGTCACAGAACCCTGATTCAGGGTGTGGGACTGTAGGCTCCAGCTCTCTGTGGAGGGGGCATCAGGAAGTCCGTGGCTACCCAAGAGCTTATAACCTGCCCCTCCTCCTGCCAGCCTGTCCATGCTTCAGCAGCGAATTCATTGTGTCTTCCCTCAAAAGGGCCCAGATGCCTTCTTCTTTTGCTGTCTTCTCCACAGCTACCCCAGAGCAGAAACCCTGGCCTTATCTCCTGGCTGGATGACTGCTTGGGTTGTGACTTCTAGCCACCATCTCTGCCTGATCCCCAAATCTACTCAGATGGTAGCCAGGGCCATCTCTTAGAAACAAAGCAGCTCTTGTCATTCCTCCATTCACATTCATGAAAAGGTATCACAACATATGATACCAGGTGGAATTAGACCCAAAGCCTCTCTCTCCCTACCCTCCACCCCCATCTTTGCACCCCTGGCTTCACCTTACTGCCCCTCAGGATGGTGAGCAATATTAGCAGAAGCTGGAATCCAGAGCAAAACCAGGACTCCAGTTCAGGAACTCCAATCTGGAATGCAGGTGTCATAACCGCCCAGGCCACACACCTGCCCCTCACCTGCTCACTAGCTTGAGACCTGCATGCAGGCTGACTCCTGCCTAGCAGCCTTTGCACTTGTTTTCCTCCTTTCTGGAATGTTCTCCCCTCCCATGTTTGTTTTTCAAGGCTGCCTCCTTCTTCACTGTTCATTTTCTGTTTTCCCCACAGAGGCCATCTGCATTCTCCACACCTGAAGAAGCTAGGCAATCATGTATTGCACTAACCTGTTCTCATTTTCAATCCAGCACTTATCATTAGCTGAGGCTTTTCACACATATTATTTATCTGTGCCTAGTCTGTCTCTTTCCTCCAGACCAGAGGTTCTGGGAAGGCATGGATGCACTCTGTCTTAGCACTGTGCATCCCCTGGGTCTAGAACAGTACATGACCCAGGGCAGGTGCTTGTCCATGGTTTGCTGATGTCGCTGGTGGTTCCACAGCCCCAGCCAGCCAGCCTTTCGACAGGAAAGCAGCAGCCCCTGGGATAGCCACCTGGTGGAGAGCAGAAACTCCAGGAGCTTTCCAGGGCCTTGTGCTTATACCACGGGTACAGCTCTGGCAGCTGTGGAGACTGCTTCCCAGGAACCAGGTTGGGGCAGCCTCCTTTGGATTCCCAGGGGACCTTCTCCCTTGCCAGAAATAGGCAAGACAGAATGGCAGTTGTGATGTCAGAGTTACTAACATGCTGAGACAGAAAGGCACGCTCACCTCGCCTCACCTCCAGTCAGTCCCTTCTCTAACGCAACGCTGCCTGTCATGTTGGATTTTTCAGCTGATGCTCAGACTCACAAAGCAAGTCCCAGGATTACCAATTCCCAGTGCTTGTTTCAACAGAAATGTAGATAAATATACATTTTATATACATATAATCTATATATAAATATATATATTTGTGTAAATATATATGTATTTATATATAAATGTTTAAATGAAGATGTTCAGACTTTTGGAGAGAAATGTAAAAATGGGCATTTAGAATCCACTCAAAGAAGAAAAAAATTGATTTAGGGTTTTTAAAAACAAAACAACTCAAAATTATTATCAGCTTAAAAAAAGAATGACAGGATGAGAAAAAGCAGGTTTGACAATGATGAGATTGTCTTTTCTTCCCAAACACGGGTGAAGCCTGTTTTCGTACTTTGGTGTAGAGAACCGACCGAGTGCAGGGTTGGCTTTGGCACAACAGAACACTACCGTGTGCACCATCAGTCCATCCATGAGGAGCATTACGCTGGCTCGAGGGGATTCTCTTGGCTATAATCTGATTTTTGCTGGGGATTCAGAGGTTTGATAATTCAGTAACACTAAACGTCCAAGTTCATGTGGGGAAAGCAACTGTGAAGTCCCGTGGGGCCAAACCAGAGTGAGGTGACCATGGCAAGGCTGGGCTGGCACCATGAAAAACCAGGAACGCTCTTTGCAGCACTGTTCCTGTCCTTGAGGCAGAGTCAGTCCCTGCCCTCAGAGGGTGGGCAAAGCCCAGGTGCCCTCAGAGACCTTGTGGCAGGAAGCCCCCCCCCCCCATGTGAGAGAGGACCTTTGGAGGCAGCAACTCAGGGCTGGCAAAATCTCCTTTCCCTGTTCCTCCAAACTAGGGATCCCACCTGAACTGGCGAAGCCCAACACAACACTCCTCTAAGGGCACACCAGGAGGGGCTGTGGGTGGGAGCTGGCAGCCAGGGGGGCTGCCCGCAGGAGCACATCATGATGTGCTTTGTTGTTCTCTTTTTAGTGATTTCTAAATTCTGCCTTAAGAACAGAAGCCCCTGGGAGCAGCAGCAGTCATCCAGGATGGAGAAGGCAGTGCAGACGGCGAGTCCTCCCAGGTCCCCGGGTGGGTGGAGGGCACTGGCTAGGCTCACCCTCCCTTCCTCCCTCCCTCTTTGCCTGTCCCACCTGCTCAGAGCCTGCACATGGGCATTGAGGACTCAGCCAGCGACAGCCAGGCTGGACAAAGCTGATGTTTCACATGAGGCACCCCCTTCCATGTCCTCCTTTCCATTCCAGACTCCTGGGAGAGGTGCCAGAGCCAGGAGGGACAGGGGAGTGTCGCCTGAGTGACTGTCCTTGGTGTGTCCTAGACACCTGCCTGCAGCAATGAGGAGTCAGGGCCACTCAAGCCATTTTCAGTCTATATCCACAAGGCTGGGAAAGAAAAACCACATGCCGTTTACCAAAATATGTGTATTATCTATACAGACTAAACTCCAATGAGTCGCTGGGAGAAGAGGCAGCAATGTTCAAGTGTGTGCTGGCAAGGCAGGGGGCAGACAGCTCTGTCCACCACGCCCACAGCCGGACACCTGGATAGCATGTGGGCCGACTCACTTGTAAGGCCTCAAAAATCTGGATACTTTGGAGCGAAGCAATCGGATGAAAGATCTTGGAAACATCTCTCGGGACTCCTGGGCTGTGTACTTGAAATAGTTCTGCGGGTGGGCCAGGACATCAAACAGGGCCTTGATCAGTTTCTTATCCTAAAGAAAACAGAATTTTTGTTACTGGGCCAAACTATCTCAACACTGTCATTCTGCCAATGGAATCACAATGACCCAACATGTAGCCAAAATGTACTATGCGAAAATGGTTTCCTTTGATTTCTATTTTTTCCTATCATCTATGATATATGCATATATATATGTTACTTGCTATTAAAGAAAATTCAGTGTATAAGCAGCTTTTTATTTTTTCCTCCCAGATGAGCTGTGCTACTGGAGTTTAGGGGGATGGGTAGGGTTAATGCTATGACAAAAGCATATTGCCAACTGCTTGTAAGCATCCAAAGTCTGGTAAACTTCAGGCTTGAAGTGGGACAAAGAACCAAAGGTCTTCAGCTCTGTAGAATTAACTGGGAAAGCACTACTCTGCCACAAATTTCCAAACTGAAAAATAAACAACTTCACTTGGAAACAGTAAAGACAAGAAAAAAAAAAAAAAAAGCTTCCATGTGGTAAAGCTATAAGTCATCTGTGCTGGGGCGGGCCTGGGGTGGGAAGGGCAGCCTCGCCGTGTATCGGGGAGGGGGCTCTGCCTCCCTCACCCATGCTCACCTTCAGGATTTCCTGGTGGTTCTCCGACGCATAGAGCCTGCCGTCCCGGACTATGTCTTCGATGAGCTCCTGGTAGTCTTCTGTGGGAATAAAGGGCAGATTGTGCATCCTGGTGGTTTAGTTGACCTTACTTTGCCCTTTCATTTCAGCCAAGGTTCTGAGAAAGGTCTCTTCTGTAGCTGCTGTCAGACCCAACACCCTCACACCACTCCCCACATGGCTCCCACTCATCCAGCTGTACCAGCACTGTCATCATTGCTGCCTCTCCCCACAGCTGAGCACTCTGACTCACCTCCACACTGGATCCCTCTTCCTTCACCAAACCAGGAGCCTGTTCCAGTGGCCCAGCTCGCTCTTCCCCTTGTCATCAGATCTCTCTGTGTCTGACCCCTCAGATCAGCACACAGATGCACTGCTGTGTCTCTGATCTCAATGATCCTTCCTGCTCCCAGCCCAGTTCTCTGCTCCCTGGTACACAATTCCCAGAGACAACCAGTTATGCCCCCCACTCCCTGGTTCCTCCCGCTTGCTTCTTGTACTCCCATTCTCAACCCACGGTCTAAGCAGTTTTACAACTCCGCTCCCCCACACCCCAGGCCTTCTGTTACCAAATCCACAGGGCTGATTCTTGGTCCTCATCCTCCTTGATGAGTAAGGGTCTCCTTCCCCCTTGATCCCATTCCTCACTCAGCATCCAGGACCCCAAGCTCTTTGCTTTTGTCTCATGGCTCTCTCATCTTTTGGGGGGCTCTGGGACTCAGCTTTGGTCTTTTCTGTACTCACTCCATGGTGAGCTCACCCAGGATTTTCTTTCCCTCTCCATTCCCACCCAGCTTCTTCTCCTCTCTGTATTATACAAAATCATCAGGCTTCCTACTTACTCTATCATCTGAAAAGGGGAACCAGGCTGGGGCAAGGGGGTTGTGGAATTTGGGGCGCGAGAAAGCTATGCTCATTTTCTCCGTAATCATTTTTGGTGTTGACATCCACATTAGTTGCAAGGCACATGATCATCCTTGCCCAGATGTAAATTTTCTCCCTTTATGGTCTAGCCTATCTCTTACACTTGTGATTCAACTCAAGCTGTAGCTATCGCACCATCTTTTTGCAAACACATAAAAAAAAAATGCCTCTTTGCATGCATATTGTATGCTACAAGGCCAAACAAAGGACACAGGGATGTTATGGAAACTGTGTGGGAGGAGTTCCTAACAAGTCTCTCCATCTAGAGATGGAAAGTGGAAATTAACATAATATTTGATGACTACCCAGGGCACTGGAGACGAGGGGCTGGTCTGCACCAGACCTGGCATGTCTCCCAGGCTTAAGCCCAGAACAGGAGGGACCACACAAGCCAGTTACATCACCGACCTGGTGGGATTCCAGTTGACCAATGGCACACCTGAATGGACATTCCTAACAAGGTTGGGACACAGACAGCCCCTTTGCCCGCCTATGTGTCTAGAGGGGTATAAAACTCTTCCACATGTATCTCAGATGCTCTTTTCGCCTCCCTCTTCCTTCCCCTCTGCGCGAAGGGGGCCCAGGAGCGGATTTTCCATTAAAGCTACCATTACAACTCTGAACAACTTGCTGATATTATTCCACCAGCAGGCAGGCAGTGGTCATCATCTAACAATATTCACAGTGATTACTGTGATATGTGTACAGCATAACCAGTAACCTATTGTGGCATCTTTCTTGGTCCTTCAGGAGGTATAAAACAAGAGTAAAAACTCAAGTATTTTTTAAGATTTAGGAGAGAAAATTTTCCATCCATTGACTCGCTTCCCAAATGGCCACAATGGCCAGAGCTGAGCCAGTCAGAAGCCAGAAGCCCGGTGCTTCTTTTGGATCTCCCACATGGATGTAGGAGTCCAAGCACTTGGGCCATCTTCCACTGCTTTCCCAGGCCATAAGCAGGAGCTGGGTGGGAAGTGGAGCAGCCAGGACATGAACCAATGCCTTTATGAGACGCCAGTACCACAGGCAGAGGCCTAGCCCGCTATGTCACAGCACCAATCCTGAGTACAAGTACTTTGAATCTGGAATCCTTCTGCTGTGGCATCTCTGCCTTGGGAAAATGGCTCTTTTTGATGCTGGAGTTTAACCATGCACAAACCATGCTGTGTTCTGGAGTAACAGAAACCTGAACAGCTGTTTGTCACTATCCAAGTGCTTACTGCTGCCTTTTCAAATCCATTTCCTCTGCTTCTAAGAGCCACAGCACGTCCTCACTTGCTCAAGTCTCTGGAGAAGCCATGTAGGACTGCAGGTCAGCATGCTGGATAGAAGGTTCCAAACACCTGTGTCCACCCAGCTCTGCCTCTGTGGCATGCCATGACTGCGGCCCAGGGCCTTGGATCTCTAGCCCAAGCGGGCTCATCCACAAAGTCAGGAAGTAGCTTTGCTGGCCTCAGGCGGTGACTGTGAGGTCTGTGCTGTGTCACAGGCGCTGGAGCATGTGCCTGGTCCTCGGCAGTGCTCAGCACCTGCCAGCCATGGCCACAGCCCTTCCTGCTTGCTCCCCAGCCATCAGTGGGAGTGTCTCTACAGGCCTCAGCTGCACTGTCCAAGTGTGTTCTCTATTCTCTGGGCTTGACAGCTGACAGAAAACTTACTGGAAATGGGTATTTTTAAAAAGACACTCTCAGCCAAGACCCAAGAGGCTTCTGCATGGCTAGCAAGTGAGTTTCCTACTCTGCTGACATGCCAAATATGTTCTCATGGGTCTCACCAGGGTTTTGTGAGATTTCCTTGCAGTTCAAGGTATACCTCCATTTAAAAAACAAATATAAAGAGAGTAGGGCACTGGCATTGCGGCATAGCCAGGTAAACCACCACCTGTGATGCTAGAATCCCAAATGAATACTGGTTTAAGTCTACTTCGATCCAGCTCCCCATTAACACAACTGGAAAAGCAGTGGAAGATGGCCCAAGTGCTTGGGCTCCTTCCACACCTGTGGGAGAACCAAATGGAGCTCCTGGCTCCTTCCTTTGGCCTGGCCCAGCCCTGGCCATTGCAGCTGTCTGGGGAGTGAGCAGCAGATGGAAAACTACCCTCTCCCCTTTCCCTTTTCTCTCCGTAGCTCTGACTTTCAAATAAATAAATAAATCTTGAAAAGAAAGCAAGCAGCTATACTAAAGCATGAGCTTTTGCAATGTTTATTCTGGAATCTCAGGGTCTCTGGCTTCCTTCCTGATTCCAGCAGAGAAGGTTGCTGGTTCGCTGCCTTTGGGGAGATGGGGCCCACTGGTGTCGCACCGCAGAGCAGTGTGGGAGGTACCTGTGTCCACCCCAGCAATCAGAGAAAAGGCACTTCACTCTGGGGGTCTGACACCCTTTCAGGCAACTCCAGGACAGGCATAATGACCATAGTCTTTGCCACATGTTACACATGACCACGTGGAATCATTTTAGGAAGCCAGACAACATCATCTTTCCAAACCTTCAACTGTAGCTCTTGTCTGCCTGGAAACATTCAATGGCCCCATACAGGATCATTTCTTTCCTCCTAGGCTTAGCGCTTATGGCTCTCCCCAAGCTGCCTTCAGTCCTTCTAGTTTTCTCTCTCCCTGTTAAGCCCTGGGCACCCCGTATCCTGCATATGCCAGACACTGCCTCCTTTCATTCCTGCCTTCCTCTCTCCTTCTCTTCTGACTCCCAAAATGTAAGACTTCTTTCAAGATATAAATCTCTTCAGATTGCTTTTTCTCCTCAAAACCTATGGACAATTACATGCCACTTCTTCTGCTTTGCTCCCATAGTGCCTTGTCCCTAGCCCACTGCAACATCTCCTTGGGCTGAGGCACCTCCGGCCTGCAGGCTGTACAAGGCCCATAAAACCCACAGGACCATAGGGGTTGACTCTGCCAAGGTGACCCCAGGTGGGACTCACAACTCGCTAAGTCTACAGTAGGCTGATTTCTGAGGTGATGACTGTATGGCCCACAAATGATGTTATACATATCCAAACAACCCTTGGCAGAAAAAAAAATCTGTCCTACCTGTGGATGTGTTTCTGTTGAGCAAGTTGCTAGCCCAAAGCTTGGATCAGTAGATGCTCACTAAATGTTTGTGGGCTGGATAAATGAAAAGGCTTATGAACTAACCTCCCCATTAGACTGAGGTCCTCCAGAACAAGAGCTAGTTCACTGAATGCCCCTGGTAAATGTCTGTCATTGAGTCTCAGAGCTAATTAAGGTCCCAGGGCTCAGAGGAACCACCTCTCATTTAATGTGAATCAAATGGAACCACATCCGTTTTCTGACTTGCTCAAGCTCATACAGCAAATCAGTGCCAGGGCCAGGACCACAGCATGGGTCTTCTTCACCCACCCTGACCCTCTCTCAAGATTCTAAGTGATAAAAAACCCCAAGCATAAGAAGTTAGTATTTACTAAGCTACAACTACATGCTGAGGACCACATTCAGTCCTTTAGGAACTCTCATTAAACTCTTGCTTTCAATCCAGTGATTAACCTAACTCACACATAAAGAAAGTGAGCAGGAAATACCTCCCAAGCTCTGCCACAAATGGCACCCACCAAGTCACAGCAGACAACACACTCGGATGTCCGTGGCCTCACCCACCAAGCAAGGCTCACTCTGAATGTATTTTCTAACATGTCTTTTCACCCTTGCAGTCCCTTACAATGCCTGCTTAGAATCCAGCACTGGAAAGTCAGCAGGGTACCTTCCCCATGCAATGTGGGCCTTTGTGAGTGTGTGTGCCTGCCAGCTGGCTCAGAAATTGGCTCTGGTCACAGCAGAGAAATCCCTATTGCTTGCTGCAGCCTGAGTTGCCCAGAACTTACCGTCATACGTCACGTAGGGTACCTGGAACCCTCTGGCACTGTTGCCTTCATTGGACTTGAACTGAATCCACAGCTTCTTGGACCTGGAGGTGAAGGCGATAGGGCGCTCGTAGGTCTGGCAGGTCTCATAGGTAGTCACGGAATTGGAGGAGGCTGCAAGGGAAGATGGAGGGTGTAGAGTTCATGAATGGCTAAACCTGAAAGGCCATGGGCAGTAGCCCAGGCTGCATGATTCCTGAGTACCTGCATGTGCCAGAGGTGACCTCTGTTAGTCAGTAACAATCCCCACTGCTTGCTGCCTACTCAGTAAGACCAGGTGGGGCTAAACATTCTATGGGCTTCAACTTCTTTAATCCTGTGAAAGTTACCCAAGTTGCTATATTTTTTACTTCTTTCACAGAGAGGTTAAGCACATGCTCAAGGCCACAGAGCTAGTATACGGTAAGATCAAAATCAAGCCTACAGATCACTTGGAGCATTTCAACCCTGCTAACAGCAGCAAGCCTTACTACAGGGGTTCCATGTGTGGCTGCTGGCATCAGAACCTGACAAATCGGAGCTGTTTCTGTTTTGCAGCTGCTATGACCCACGTTAACATGATTCAGGAGACAGACAAAGGAAGATCTGGAATGAGGGACCAAGATCACAGAACCAGGAGGAGCAGGGACTAGAACTGAATTATGGTCAGACTGGTCACAGAGCCCATCCACTGCACCCAATGGTGCCCCTGAAACAGACTCAGCCAGGAGTCAGGAAAGGAGGAGGGGCCCCTCCTGACTGCACCATGCCCTTGGCCTGGATCAATCCCCAGCCACAAGTTGCTACTGAAGATGTGAGGCAATGTCTGGGGCCAATGCTGCGTGGAACTCATCTGCTGGCTGTATCCTGCAAGATGGGATCTGACATAGCCCAGAGGGTACAAGGATGAATCTGAGCTGCAGAGGGCAGAGCTGAGCCACCTCTGGCATTGAAGGGGAGGCCCCGGGGAGTGGTTTTTGGCCTAAGTTGTGTTTTCCAGTAACTTCTATCCACTCATAGGCCATGTCTGCTCTAACTGCAGGTGCCACGCTTGGCCTGTTGCTCATGGGTGACAGCTGGGGAGCAGGCCACCATGCCTCCTGCCAGCCTTGGGGTGAGGAGGAGGTGGGCAATAGACAGGAGACGCACGGGTTTTCCGCATCACCAGGTAGTCTCCACAGTCATCCTCGATGGGTAGGAAGATCTCAGGGACCACAATCAGGATGCGGCGCTTCGGGGGTGGGTTGATGGTCCATGTGCACTCAGCGTTGGCAGGGTAATTGCCTGGGTAGTTTGGAGACTCTATGTACCCTGTGAAATCTCCCAGCTCCCCTCCACATCTTCTGTCTGGAAAAGGAAACATCACAAATTACAAAGGTGCAACCCTGTCTCGCCAACTGAGAACTGTATCCTCCCGCCAACAGCAGTGCACCTGCCCTCAGTGTCCAGGCCCCCTTTAGGAGGAGGCCTACAAGGATTCCCCAACACAGAGGCCACCCCTCTGAATTCCCCAAGGCATTGCTTTCTCACAAGCCCACAGAGGCCCAAGGTCAAGGCAAGGACACATCTTGCTTTTAATATTTGATTAATGAAGTCCAAGTTTTGGGGGATGGAGTGGGGGTGCTGGACATACAACTTCTAGGTCAGTCAACGCGGCAGAGCAGATCTCAACACTCGGCAGAGAATTAGCTGACCTTTCTTAGAGACCTCTGCTTCGGACAAGATGGGTGTTTGCACTTTTCTTTCTGAGTAAGATTGCATTTGAGGTGGAAGCAGAGTTCCAGCAAGTTGTTAGTTGGTATAGAGTGAGGTGGCTGCTTAACTCTGGTGCCAAAGGCAATGCTGCCTGTATATTCACACATGTGTGCACACATACACAACCCATGAGCATGCATGTACATATATAAACACACATATCATGAGCATACACACACCCCATGAGCATGCACACACATACACAAACTCCATGAGCATCCATACACATACTTACACACCCCACGAGCATCCACACACATACATACACACCCCATGAGAATTTACTGCCTAACACTATCAGGGAAACAGGTGCAGAAGAGGTTGAAGGGAACAGTTTTTGCCAATAGTAATGGGGAGTTATCATTACTGGTGGGAAGAGTAAATAGGTTTTTTCTTCTTCTTGGGTGAAAAGAGGGAGTGAGGGAGCCATGATGACGGGGATAACATCCTTCATGCCTGAAGGGCTGTCTGAGGGCTGTGCCACCAGGGCCAGGGCAGGTTAAGACAAGGGAACAGTTCCTCCTGGCTCAAAGAAGGACTAACACTCATACTCCCCCCGACCCCGAGGCTGATCTACTCAGGGCCACAGGGATATTTACACCCTCAAACATGGGCCATAGGAAATGACCAACCAACAAGTCAGCCCACTGTGGATTACCAAATATCATGTCTTGCCTATGGTTGCCAAGGCAGGACCATACCCGAATGATTTCACTAGCCTATGAAGCCCACTCCAGACTGTTCCTGTCCGGACACTAAACAATCCTGAGAGGGAAGAAGAGCCTCATCATAGCAGATGTTCAGTAAGACTAGATACAAACATACTGGGATGCCATTCAAAGGACTTCACTGGGACAGAGGAAAACACCAGACAACCAATCAGCCATAAAAACCAGAACTCACTGCCCCTCAGACCCAAGCTCCCCCAGTTTGGGGAGACCTCCCTGTCCCCCTGCCTCAATGGCACAGAATTAGTGGAGATTTCCTTCTTGTCTTCACTACGGAATTTTACAAAATGGTTTAAAAAGAAGAAGATTTACAACCCTAAACAATAAGACTTCAAATCATCTGACTTCCTCTAGCTGTAAAAAATAAACCCCACTCCTTCAGATGGCATTCCTGGCTCCCCTGTCTGGCCTGCCAGAGGGTCCCCCAATACGTTCTGTGCTTATGTCTGGGGCCAAAAGCTCCTTCTCCCACCTGCCTGGCCCTCCACCATCACAGCCTCCACGTGCCTTCTGGAAGCTTCTTCTCAAGCTCTCAGACGTGGTGGCTCACTCCCCTTGGTAGCTTGCAACCCAGAAGGCCCTGCAGCTTAGCCACAGTAATGTATTCTGTTTGGCATCACTACAGTTACACAAGGGCCCCTCCACAATGCCTGCTGAGCAAGGCTGGCCTGAAACTGGGCCCGGGGGAGGAAAGTGGAGCTTGGATCAAGTGCCTGAGGCAACAGGTTGGGAATAGGGGATGAGGGAGGCACCTGCTTAATGAACCCCTGCATCTTTCCCAGCTAGAGCATTCTTGACCGGGACAGTGAGCACCTGAGAGACATACTTTTACACTGGGTGACGTTAGTGGAGCCGTCAAAGTCAGTCGTTGTATTTCCCGGACAGGAAGCACAGCTGTTTTTCCCAAACTCAGGCTGGTATGTCCCCACTGGGCAACGGACACAGCGGTGAGTGGTGGTGTTGTAGAAGTGGCCGGGAGAACACTGAACTAGGGGCCAGGAGATATAGAAAGAAACAGGAAAAGACTGTGTCATCAATGCACCATGCAAGGTAAACGCTTGCACCTCAGTGCAGTAGCGCTTGCCTACAATTGGGAGCTAATCAACAATGATTCCCTCAAAGTGCATTTATGAGGGACCAAGGCCACCAGGAAAAACATTAACAAAGAAGATGTGCTTGTGTGTGAACACCTTCCAGTCTATGTTTCTCACACATGGGCATTGGCAATCACGTTCAAACCTTCCCACAGAGTATGGTGGCCATCAGGAGGGGTGCAAAGTCAAGGGAGCCTCTGCTAGGTTCTGGACAAGGGGCTGGGCCCAGGCCGAGGGGTCAGGGAAATGAAGTGACCAAGACAGGAAGGAAGAAGGCAAGGTAGTTAGGTACAAAACCCATTCTCTCCTCCTTAATCAACCCTTGTCAGTCTTGTCTGAAGGGGTTGTGGTGGCTGGGAAACCTTTTCCAGGGGTTGATAGGGCTAGAAACATAACCCCTGGCCCCTAGGGCAGCACCCAGGAACCCCTTGGCCCAGGAAGAAAGGTAGTGGCTGGTTTGATCACGGTCTCCCTAGACTCCCACAGAGCTCACAAGGAAATGTCAAGTTCTCCCATGAGGGTCAGCTGCCCAAGGCTCACCTCTGGTCTCACAGTCCTGGAAGGAAGTGGCTCCTGGATGTCTGGTGGGGAGACCCCCTCCACAGGAGATACAGGAGGTCCGGCCGGTGTCAGGCTGGAACGTGCCCAGGGCACAGAGCTGGCAAGGAGCGAAGCCATCTGAAGAGAATTCACCAGGCTGGCACAGACCTGGGGTGGGGGGAGACATAGCTTTTACTTTACGTTAGCACAGAAGGCACAACCATCAGCAATACACCTCTAAAATCATGTGTTCCTTAGTGACTGGCTTATCACTGGCAAAATGCTATAAAAATCTGTCTGTTTCCACATTCGTCTCTCCCCTTGTTAATTTTCACAGCCTTCCTTTTAAGTTGCAGATGCACTGGCGTTGAGACAGCACCATCCCAAGGCGGGCGTCTGCCGCCCGCCCAGCACCGGGGCCCCCACTTCTTGGCCGTGTGACCTTCGGTGAGTCATTTCAGCCTCCCCATACACTGATGTAATGATACAGGCACCTTATGAATAATTCATGCGGTATACTTAGTACAAAGCCTGGCTTAGTACACTAAGCATTGTCACTAACATTCTTCCTGCTATAAATACACCTTAGGAAGGTCACACACAAGGGCGAACAGATTCTAACAGGTGCTCTCTTGCCAACATTGGCATTAATTCTGGAGTCCCCTAACGGACTGAAGATACATCAGAGCCACATACTTAATGTGAGGATGCGGTTTTGAAGCCAGAGACAGTCCTGTCATTGAGTTTGGAAGGCCTTGAGGTGGGAGTGAAGGCCTTAAGGCATGGAGGTCTTGGGAGAGCTGCCAAGGGCAGCACATGTGCTCCATCATGTCCACCCAAAGCAAATGACCACTCAGGTCATGCCAGAGACATGGACACAACTAGCCCATCTCACACTGCGCTAAAGGAACACATTGCCTAACAAGATGAATAGGCAAGTTGCCTACAGAGCCCAACTTAGAGCTTGGCCTCAAAATTAGCATTTTGCACGATACAATTAGAAACCCTTCACAGAGGAGGTCCCAATCTTAATAAAATATCTGGATGAATCTATAAGTTTTAAAAATAAAAGAGCTATGGACTTGAGACCAAATCTGCGGTGGTGGGGTAGGGTGGGGAGAATAGACTTTCTCCATTTTAGTACTGCTAAACAGACTAGGAGACCATGCAAGTCCTGGGGAGTGTGGAGGGGCAAAAGCAGGTGGCAGCAACACAGCCACCTTTCTGCTGTCCTCATTTATCTACTCAGCTGAGAACCTGCTCGTGTGTGTAGGTGCTGACCCAAGCCCTGGCGAGCCAGCAGGGAACCTCCCTGCTTGCAGGAAGACCAAGGTACAGTGTACCTGGTTAGGAGTCCTGGAGAGGCCACAGGTGCCTCCTGTCTCAACAATGACCTTGCAGACCTGCCCCAGGAGGAAGGGGTAGACAGATTCCTTACCTCCACATTCAGATACGTTCCAAGCTGCAGGGGTCTTCAGGGCCCCAAGATTTTCTGGTCTTGGACATGGTTCACAAGTGATCTGCCCTTCCTCATTTTGGAAGGTTCCGTTTGGACATAAAATGCAGCGTTCTTGGGCTCCATCGTAATACGTCCCAGCCCTGCAACTGACTAGCCCAAGGGGGAGACAGTCAGGTTAGTGTGGGGCACAGGAAGACCCATGGGAGACAACCACACCGCCTTCCACACACACCTGACCTGATACCCTACAGGTCCTCTCCCCCATTAGATCTGACAACTCCATTAGAAGTGTTTACACTCTTGTCTCTCTCTAGGCCATGCCCTCCTGGGGGAGGGGGGCAGTGATCCATCCCAGGGGTCCTCATTTTTAACAGCATAAACACCTGATGATTGATAGATCTAAAAAAAATTTATATCTACTTCAAAGGGCTGCCAGAGGTTTATAAAGGGAAAATCAGGGCCATAAACCCAGTGATGAAAGAACAGTGAGGAGGACGGCTGTTAATGTTGGCTCATGGTATACTGGAAGGAGGCCACTTTTGTGTTGGGCCTTGGAAGATGCACAGGTTTCCCCCCAGCTCCCTGTCCCAGCTGGAGAAGGGGGAGGCTGTAAAGATTAATGCAGGCTATGGGAAGAGAGAAAAGAAAGGAAAGTTTGAGATAGAGTGGAAGAGTTAATTAAAAAACAGAAAACAAAAGCCTACCTGGAAGATAATGATGATGATGATGCTGATGATGAAGAGGTAGAGAGAAAACAAAGACAGCACCCATCTTCTGGTTTATTTCCTTCAAAGCCCCAAGCTCCAGGAGAAGCTAAGAGCCAGGAGCTCAATCCAGATCGTCCACGTGAATGGCAGAGACTCAACAGCCTGAGCCGTCACCTCTTCCCCCCAAGGGTGTGCATCATTAACAAGACATGGGAGTCAGAAGCAGAACTCCAACCTCAGACCTGGGCACCCTGTGCAGCTCAGGCCAAATGCCTGCTCTTGGGGATGGTCTTGAATGCCTGGCATTGGGATGGTACTCTGTGTCCTAAAGCAGGCGTGGAAAGGTGGGAAGGGCAACCAGAAGCTGTGTGCTGAACAGCTGAAGAGGCTTAGAAAATAGCACACTTAAGATTTTGCACAAAACTAATACGTCCTAGAGTCAACCCTGGTGTCTCCTGAAAGAATAAACAATAAGGAAGTTCATAAACCGTGTTCTGTTTGTATTTTTGGCACTACTAGCTAACTGTGGATTTATGCTTCATTTCAGGATATAAATATGAAGGAAATGTATCCAATCAGGCTCCCTACAGTTCAAACATCACCAACATGGCCAGCCAGCCAGCCCTTCTAATGGCTAACACGTGTTGAGGCTGCACAGTCTGCAACACAGCTGCCCGGGGTCTAAATACATTCTGCTCATTTACTCCTCGCCATGGCTCTATGGGGCAAAGAGCTCTCAGTAAGCCCATTTCACAGAAACAGAGTAAGGGAGGTTCATTAATCTGGCCCAGGTTCCTTAGCTGTTTTGCGACACTGCACCTATGACAAGATGGAAAACCCTGAGCTTCCGGGGAAAAGGGTTATTCCATAAACATGCAGACAGCAGCACAGTGCTACACTTGGCACAGGACTCCCCGTGGGGGTAGGGGGAGTTTGGAACAGACATATTCTTGTCCTGCTGAGGCTGCCAAGAAATGGGAGAAAGCTCGCATAAGGAAGTAGGCTATGACATCTGAAGGTGCTCAAAGGCAAAACTGGAGTCCATATGACCCAGCAAATACAACGCGCAGATGTGCTCTGGGGGGGTAAATACAGCCATGTTCTCTGACACCTGCTATGAAATGTCTTTTCACTATTCACACCACACTCTTAAAACAATGTGGCTTTGAAACCTAGCGAGCCAAAACAGACCATGTTTCAAACATGACTTCTACTATCAAGTGTAAACAATCAGTAAAGACTACCCTAATGCCTAAATCTTCACATCTTCTAATATTGTTTAGACTTTCTTTTATAACAGTCATGTATCATTTTAATATGACTTGAGGACTTATTGTCAATGGAAAAAAACTAGCAGTGAACCCATCTCTGGCCTCGTTGGCAGGCCGCATGATGAGGAGCACGATATATGAATCTGCAGCGGTGGTATCTACATAAAGCAGAGTCTGAGATTCCAAACTTTTCTAAACGCAGCCCTCCTGGATTAATGGTTTCCATGGTCAGTCTGCTTCCAGCCCAGTTCCCATGAGACTCTAGGCTGCATTCTCTACTCAGATCCCTACGTCCCACCTGCTTGCTCCAGGGACTGTAACAGGCCAGAGGGTAAGAGATTAACCCCCTAGCAGCTCTGAGTAGTCAGGGACCTGGCAGGAAGGAAGGAAGGAAGGAAGATGGTGGCTGTCCATATCCCTCTACTCTTCACCCTCTCCACGTGGGGAGGAGCTGTTTGCACCACACTCAGTCACCTAAAGAACTCGCAATCACACGACTACATGGTCTGTTTCCCAGGGCTCCTACCTCTCGCCCAAGCCCAGGATCTGGCCGACTCCTGCTTTCCCTCCTCCTTGGAGCCCCTCAAAACTGCCTGTTTCCAGAGGCCTCGCCTATTCCACATCTGTTGCAATTTGCTGGCTGACCAAAGGGCTGAGGCAGGCCCCTGGGGCTGCCTCCACGGCAGGACACTCCCTGTTTTTCCTTGCAGTGAAAGGGCTGGCTTCACCTGCACCACAGCTCGCAGCTTCTGTTTCTCTTGTTGAGACAGAGACCCACTGAGGCAAGTCATGCCCAGAACCTTCCAGAGAGATGCATCTCTCTCACAGGTGAAAACGAGCTAAACGTTGAGAAAAATGCATGAAAACAGCGCTTTGCCGATGTGCTGAGGAGCCAGCCTGCTCAGGCTGCACGCACGCCTTCCATCATTTCTTCTGTGTGAGCAGCCAGCTTGTTGAGCTGCCACTGACAAAGGGTCACTTGCCCCCGGAGCACGGCACTGTCCCAGAGCAGCTTTTGTGCGTCTTCAGTGAGCATTCAAATCCCAGGCTCAAATCCTGCACAGCTGTTTTCTCCCCTCTTTAAAAACAAACCAGGAGAAAGCTTTTCTGATGCAAAGGGCAGAGGTGAGGATTAATGGCAACAAAGAGGCCTGAAGGCGTCCCCCGCCAACCCCTGCCTCCCTTGCCCCCTTTCAGCGCCTTTGAGCATTTCAAGCTATGGACAAACACTATGGTCTCTCTGTGGTGATGGTGCCAGACCTAATAAAAGGGGTCACTCTCAAGCCACCAGCAGCCCATGCGGATTCCCAGAGCATCCTGCAGTTACTGCTTTGTCCCTGCTCACAGGCGATGACACCCTGGGCAGGGATTGGGCCTCAAGATCCTAGGGTGGAACCCCCTTTAAGTAAGTGCCCCCATGGCAGAGGACAGCACTCCTTGGACTGAGAGATTGAATTTTGCGCTTTCTGAGCTTTTGGTATGTGCTCTACTTTGCCATTGCAAACATTCTGATGGCTGGGGCAGAGGAAGGAGCCCAGCTTGAGGCCTTCCTTGCTTGGTTCCCAAACATACACCCTGTGGCCTCTTCATGCCCAGTTAACTGGAGATGGAATTTCACTTCCTTTCCCACAGTTTGCTGGCCTTCAGTGCAAACATCACCCCCAAAGAGGCCCTTGGCCTGCTGACCCTTCTTGGGTTTTTTTGTGTTGTCCTACCTGTGCTGACTCAGTTATTCATTCAAGGAATCTCTATAGAGCCCACATCAAGTACTGCACTGAATACTGTTCTGGGTACTGGAAACACACAGACATGGCCTTACCCTGAGTGTGGCTAATAACCCAAGCAAAAACAGTAACATATGCAGCTTGCAGGACAATCTGTGTTGGTAAGGTGAAACAGGGTAACAGAATGGAGGTACAGAGAGTACAGGGAGTAGAATCTGCTGTGCTGTACCTGGGAAAGGCCTCTTTGAGCTGAGATGCTAGGAGGTAAATCTTAAAGGATCTTGTAAGTGCTTGAAGGCTCTGGTAAGGAAATTAGACCTGGCCATGTACGTGCTGTAGGCATTGCCTGATCTTTTATGCTTTCTAGGCCACTGTGTGAAGAACAGACTGTGGGCAGGCAAAGGTGAGGATAGCAGCCCAGAGCTAATCATTGTAGACTGGACGAGAGATGAAGGTGGCTAGGGACAGAGAAGTGTGATCCAACGTGGAGGTAGAGCTGCCAGGATATGCTGATGGACTAGAAGAAGAACATGAGAGAAAGAGATCAAGATGACTTCAAGGGTTTCAGCTGGAGCAATGGATAAGGAGGGGTGCCAGTTACCGAGATCAGAGAGAAGCAGGTGGATTTGGGAGGATAGAGGATAAGAAGCTTTGCTTTAGGGATAAGCATTTGGGTGGGTGGTTAAGTCTCTGCTTACACCTTGGTGTCCCAGCTCGTCTGTTCTCTCGTCATCCTCCTGCTAATGCACATTCTAGGAGGCACCAGGTGACAGTTCAACTAGCTGGGTTTGTTACCCATCGGAGACCCAGAAGGAGTTCCTAGCTCTCATTTTTCCCTGACCCAACCCTTGCTATTGTGTTTGGGGAGTGAGTCAGTGGATAGATCTCTCTCAGTTCTTGTTTCAACTAAAATTAACAAAATTAGTCAATTTTGAAAGGTAAAAAAAAAAAAACCTTTGGAAATGATAAACATGAGATGCTGGTTGACTATACATGGGTTGCATGCAAAAGGCACAAGCTAACCTGGTGGGCTCTGATGTGGGGTTTACATGATGATTTATTAGGCATGGGAAACACATTCTCACATATGTACATATTAGTTTTTACCTACTCAGTTAAAAGACAAATTTCATGGATTGAAATGGTGCAAGATGGGCTTCTGCAAGTCTCCAAGATACACAGATATGAGGATACAATGTTTTCCCAAAGAAAGAAATATACTGTTCTCTAACTCTGGGGCTCTGGAGATCAGATATGGATCTGATTTTTGCAATACATTGAGAGAAATTACAGTTTAATTAGGCCTGGTTCAACAGGTTTTCTGATTAAATTATTTAATTTTAACTAAATCAAAAACAATTAATAAAAAAACAGATTTGGGCAATTCCTACAAAGAACACCTGGACTGATGGCCGTACAATGAAGCAAGAACACACAGGTACAAGAGGAAAAATAGCTGCGCTGGCGCTTCTGCTTGGAGCCTGAGCTCTTTGTCAAACCACATCAGGAGACAGGAACCACAATGACTCAATTAGATCTGATGGGAGTTCACCCAAAGCTCCAGCAAGGAACCAAAAAACTAACTGAAAGATGGAATTACCATCACTGCTATTAGCAATAAATCCTGCCAAAATGTACCTAGGGTGCTAGACAGTCCAGGCTTTTGTTTATTTAATCTTCATTCAGTTTTTTGACTTTTGAAAAATTGCTATTCTTAGATTTTATTTACCCAAAAAGCAGAGAAATGGAAAGATAAACAGAGAACTGCTATCATTGGTTCACTCCCCCGAAGGCCTCAAGGCCCAGGGCTGAACCAGGATGAAGCCAGGAGCTACAAATCTAATTCTGGGTCTCCCATGTGGGTGCCAGGAACTCAAATACTTGCCCAGTCACTTGCTGTGTGCCAGGATACACATTAGCAGGAAACTGGGATCAGTAGTAGACTTGGGACTTGAACCCAGACACTGCACTATTGGATGCGGGCATGCCTCGTGGCAGCTTCATAGCTACACCAAGCTGTTCTCCTGTCCTCTATGATGCCCAGAGTATCTCAGTCATCAATGCAAGTATGTCATTTATAAGTAGGTATGCATAAATTCAAGCACATTTGCATAATTCCCAACAGAAGAAGAGCTAGAGAAGGCAACACAGGGAGAAAACAGCAGATGGTGGCATTAAAGCTGTAGTACTGGATGCAGCTATCTGGGAATGTATGAAGACACAGGAGGGGAATAGATGACTGGGTCCTGAGATGTCTGGTGTTTATAGTGATCAGAAAGGGCAGGAGGAACCTGCCATGTAGATGAGGAAGCAGAAGTGGGTGGTCAAGGCACAGAAAGGAACTCTCCCAGGGAAGGGTGACCAATGGCGTTAACAAGGACACTCACAACAAGGAGTAAGAGTTGACAACTTGGATGACAGGAGAAATCCTGGAAGAAAGCTTCTGAGGAGAGGCTGGGAGTAGAGACCAGACCAAAGAGGGAACAGGAGGTCAGGAAGCAAAGGCAGCTTGGGGCTCTGCAACAGTCTTGGCAGAGCAAAGAAACAAGGCAGGGCCTGGGACAATGCCTGCAGTGGACAGCTAGGAGACAGTTAGGGGTGTGGTCTGCAATGCACTGGCATAGAAAGAATCCTGAGACAAGTCAGGGTTTAACAGGCCACCAGCAGGAGCCACAGCCCTCAGAGATGGAGGGGGTGGCCTTTACATGGGGGCAGCCGCTGCTGGTGCTCCATTAGGAGGTATGTCAGAGCATATTGGCAAATACTTGATAATGAGATGGGTCTGGACATGCAGACCCTCAGACACTTTTTCTGGAAGCCTTGTGTCAAATCAAATGTAACGTGCCCAAGGGCACTGCTTGTCTTGACTTCCCAGATGGGAGTCTTCCTGAGTCACCTCTGCCCTGCCAGCTGCCAGTTTCCAGACCAGTCATCCCAACTCCTGCCCCCTCGCACCATCAGCCACCTGCTAAGCTGCTGTGCGGCTCTGCTGAACTTCCCTATCACCTGTTGGATTTACTGCAGTAACCTTGCAGCCATCTCCCTGGGTTTCTGATCAGCCACACTGCTCCAGCTCCTGACGTCCTGCCCCAGCTCCTGAGGTACTGCCGCAGCTCCTGAAGCCCTGCTCCAGCTCCTGACACACTGCCCCAGCTCCTGACACACTAGTTCCCTCCTCAGCAAGCATCTCTCTGACAGCTCTACTCCTGACCTGATTCCTCGCACCTTTCCCGGCTGCTTTGCTTCTCTCTCTTCCCTCTTTAGCATCCCTTTGCCTTACTCCATCTTCATCTTTTCTCATTTTCTCTCAAGAGCCTCCTTTTTCTTTTTTGGCTTTCATCTAAGCCTCTTCCGATTAATTCTTCCCCAGTGATTGCATTCATCTAACCATTCAGTCACCCACTGGCTTTCTCTCAGTCCCTCTTGCATATGAAACAGGGCTTGCGGAGATGACAGACTTACAATCAAGGGCCCAGTCAGATGCTTCTGGGTTTAGGCCAACCCTGTCTTCTCAGGTTCCCATCCATGCCAGCACCAAATGCTTTCCCCCTAAATGCTTTTCTAATCCAGTGCTTTTCCACACCAGCTAAAGCCTCCACATCTTCATTCATGACACATTCCAAAGCCCCCAAATTACTCTTTCTATACTGTCTGTTCTATACTGTCTGATACAGCTATACAGATGTTTCTGGAATACACATTTAACCCAGCCTCTTTCTGATTAAATCCTCTAAGGACACCATGCCACTCAAAGTTGAGACTCAGTATGAACAATTTCCAGGTCCCCCATGCCTTGCTCTTACCTTGCCACTAGCCCAGTTGCCTACCATATCCTTGCTAGCTCTGAAGACTTACTGATGTGCAGATATGTCAATAATCCACTACGCAAACCTTGCTCTTCTCCTATTTCTCCTTCATCACCGCTCTCCGTTTACTCATCCTTCACACTCAGGTTGAGCGACAGGCACGCATCACACTTTGGATTGCCTGGCTCCTGATTCTGACTGCTGCTGATGCGTGCCCTGAGAGGCAGCAGTGACACTGCAGTGATGAGTTCTTGCCACTCATATGGGAGACCTGGGTCAAATCCCTGGCTTCTGACTTTGGCCTGGAATAACTGTGGCCATTATGGGCATTTGGGGAGCAGAGGAATTAGCTAATGGGAGTTTGTTTCCGGTCAGTCTCTCAAATACAAGAAATAAATACAATCTAAAAAGTAACTCAGATATTCTCATTTTGGGGAAGGTTTCTTTCACTCTCACGTGCAAGAGCTGAGTGCAAATTGGAGGATGATATCTTATTTATCCAGACCTCCTCAGCACCTGCCACAGAGCTGGTCCCAGGAGGGTTTTCTGAATGAATACAGGTAAGTTGAATAATCGCAGGGCACCATGTACTTATTGGCTGACCATGGGGAAAATGCTGACCTTTCCTATGCCTCAGTCTCCTCACCTATAAAATGGGCATGATGTAAGTAGGCTCGTGGAAAGGACTGAGGCGATATCTATGATGACGACAGAACTCTGAACACCTTGTGCGTGCCCAATGAGGGCCGGCATTTTTCTATGTTATGTTTTAAATAAAAGAATTCCTACATAGTCCACATGATCAACCTCTGCTCAATACTGATCTATATTGCTAACACAGACTTTTGTGTTCTACTCTGTTTAAACAGAAAAGTTTTTGCCTGATCAGTTCTAGAGACTTCCTTCATTTTTAAAGAACTAAGAAGAAAATGCCCAGCTCGTTTCTGCCCCAGGTCCTTGACATTTGCTGAGTTCTTTGCCATCAGAGGATTCCCACCTACCCACCCATGCACATCAGAGCTTTGCAGGCTGACTGCTTCTCCTCACTCAGATCTTGCTCCAATGTCACCTGCCCTGAGAACCTTCGCTGGCCAGCTTGTGTGGAGTAACTCTCCTTCCTCTCCAACATTCTGTTTTATTATCTTCCTAGCACTTTCTGTTTTCTTTTCATCTCCCGCTGTTCAATGTGAAATCCTGATGAACAGGCCCTTTGCACATCATGTTCTAACTGCTTCATACCCAGCACATAGCGGTGACAGAGTGATATCACAATATACACTGGCTGAATTAACCTTTTTCAATTGCTATGGAGGAAAGCCACTGCTGTTAAAAACTGAGTGACTCAGAAGATGGAAGACCTTTCTGATTGTCCCTCGATTTAACCATTATTTACTTCCCAGACCTCTGCAAGCCAGGTACTGAACCAGAAGTGGAGAAAGAGAAGTGAACAAGACCCAACCTAGCCTCGGTTCCCCACCTGGCAGGCAGGACAGACACCCACACAATAGTTGCTGGATACAGAGGGATCCCAATGTCCCCTGGGGTGGGTCTGCAAAAGGCAGCCCACACTGACTGCTGGTTGCCCTTGGTGTTGCTCCCAGAACTCACAGCAGCCGTGGAGACAAGGATGCCTTAGAAACTACTCACCACACTGGTTTTCCACGTGGCTCTGGCCCACTGCACAGGATTCGGCCCAGGGTTCAGGTGTTCCTGGAGACTTTTTAGTCACGTCATAGTCCAGGCCCGAGAGCTGCAGGTGGAACTGCCCCCTGTGGGTGGCCTTCCTGAGTGTGCGGATGGCTTTCCTCAGCCGCTTCTCCGTCCGCTTCACAAAGCAATTCAGACGGCAGGAAACTAGCGAAGTAAGGACAGTGGGGCCAGGAGGAGGTCAGGCCTTGAGGATGCCACCTGGACCAACGAGGATGCATGACCCAACCCCAACCTAAGCCCTCAGTGACCCCTGAATGGGGAGACATGGAAGGGGTGACTGGCAGGTGGGGCAGCATTCAATTTACACGGAAATTTATTGACCAAAATGGTCACTTTGAGGTTTTAGGAAAAACAAAACAGGAGATACTTCAGTGTCTGCACTATTCTGCCCCCACCCCCAAATGATGCAAAGCAAAAGGCAAAGAGATAGGAGCAAGTGGTGAAACCCTGGCACCGTCCTCTGTTTGCAAACCAACCTGTGGCCTCCCGTGGGCTAGTGTCAAGCTCAAACTCAACAGTGAGCAACATTTCCTGAGGGGCGTTGGGCGGGCCACGGGCTGCCGGGACGCGCTGGCCGGAGCGGCATGTAAGATTTGCGTAGCGGAAGCTCTCTGTTACTGAGCTGCGCTTCTCTGCATGAAGAAACACAATGGTCGGGAGCCGAGTCCTGGCACAGCCCTCAGCTACACACACTAAACCAGCAAGCATTTCATGAACACAAGTCCCGAGGGACTCAGCCATCCATTGCCGGCGCCAAGATGGAGCAAGCCCTCAACCTGGCCAGAGTTGCCTCCTTCCTAACTTCAGTTTAGCTCTCGGAAATGCTCTCCATGGGCCACTGCCGGATGCTCACATCTGATGAGCTACAGATGTGAAAGACCCAGGGGCCAGAGGTCGAGTGGAACATGTTTGTGTCCTCATTTCAGAAAGCCAGACTGGGAAGGATGGCGCAGGGGCTGATGCTTCCACTAAGGAATGGGGCCCTGAGGGAAAGAGAAAACAGCCCCAGCTTTCAGGCAAACTGACCTGGAGTAACTCCAGCCTGAAGGCAAGGCCGGAAAGCACATCAGCACTGACGTCTCATTTTTCAAGCACTGGGAGCAACAAACGGCACAAATAATCAGACAACATCATGGGGACATCTTAGAGGGAGAGCGGATGTGTGATGTAAGGTGGGCCTTTGTACATCTCTGTTCCTGACCTTGGCTGTTTCCTCTCTCCCTACAGCTTCCAGCAGACTTAACTAGTGTCCGTGAACCTGAAGCAAACAGAAAGTCCACGAATTACCCTCATGATGTGTCTCTCAATTTGGAATTTTTATTTTATTGAACTGAAGTCCCAGAACATTTCAAAAGGTTCACGGAAGTAAAAACTAAGATTACTTTGGTGTTTAAAAAAAAAAAAAAGGTTTGAAACACAAGCATCATCCTTTCATCATACTCATTTTCCATGAGTTATTGAAAAACCTCATCTTGTCTATATATCACACTCGTCTCTACCATCCCAACGATGTCCAAAGCCACAGGTCATTAGTGGCCAAAGGAAGGAGGCAAACTAATTTCCCTATTCCTCCTCACCAAGATTCATCTTCCCTTTTCAAAAGGCTAACTTAACATAAAACTAAGCAGATGCTCCTTTTGAAAAAATTTCCCTTTCAGCTATCTCTTACCTGTTTTCAAAGAGTGTTCATTCTGATCTGTAGAAAAGCTAAGACACTGTGGAGAATTCCTGTGTGCCTTCACTGCATTTCCCCCAACATCACACTACAAAATCAGCATGCATACAACCTAAGTAAACCGTAGATCACATCCACTTGCAAATTATTGTTCCCACACCTACAACTGAAAAGTGCAAATGCTCACTGTGGAGAATTTGGAAAAACACAGAAAAAAATTAAAATCATTCATCCTCCTCTCACTCAGATATAACAACTAGCAATGAATATGGTGGACTTCCTTTTTGAACAGTTCCCCTGGTTGCTAATTATTCTTTGAAAACATATAAATAGTTCATAAAGATGAGTTAAAAGATTATTTTAGTGCAAAAAAAAAGTTGACATCTGTGCATATGAGGGCCTCTTCAATGCATTCATGAAAAAGGTGTATTATAAGAAACTACAAGGATTTCAAAATTTTTGTACCAAAATAAGCTTCTCTCTTATTTATTATTGCTATTAATTATTATTTATATTTATTTATGAGGGGGCAGAGAAAGACAGCTCCCATTTACTAATCTACCACCCAAATATCCACAAGTCAGGGCTGGGTCAGGCCAAAACAAGAGCCAGGACTCAACTGAGGTGTCCTCTGGGGGTGATAGGAACCCCATTTTATAGCCCTCAGCACTGCCTTGCCAAGGTCTGCATTAGCAGGAAGCTGGAATCAGGAGCTGGAGGCAGTGAGCAAAACCAAGTTCTCAGACAATCTCAACACTAGGCCAAGCCTTCACTCTATAATAGTCTCCTTTTGTTGATCATTTCCTTTGCCTGTATGAAACTGTTTAGTTTAATATAGTTTCTTTTGTTTATTTTGCTTTGACTACCTGTGCTTTGGTAGTTTTTCCAAGTAGTCTTTTCCAATTCCTATAGCTTGGAGACTGTTTCCTTTAGAGGTTTCACGGTGCAGATTCAGGTCCTTGATCTATTTAGAACTGAATTTTGTATAAGGTAAGAGGTGGGAGTCTTGCTTTTTTACCGCTGCAGGCTGCTATCCAATTGTCCCAGCAGCATTTGTTGAAGAGACCAGACTTCTTCCCTGGATTGTTTTTTGTCAAAGATTAGTTGGCTGTACATGTGTGGGCAGTATCCTGATGTTTCTATTCTGTTCCACTGATCTTCTCTGTTTCAGTACCAGGACCAGACTCCCATCAAAAGAGGAGTAGATAGTACGTCTTCTCCATGGAATACTATTCAGCCATTAAAAAGAATGAGATTCTACCATTTGCAACCAAATGGTCCCAACTAGAGACCATTACACTCAGTGAAATCAGTCAATCTGAAAAGGACAAATATTTTATGTTCTCTGATATAAGACAACCTTAATGCAAAATACAAGATCAATAGCCCTTCCAACAGTTTTTGCTGCAACTCATTGGCTTTGATATTTTGTTTATTTTCATTTCTTCAAAATAATTTCTTATTAAATTCTTCACTGACTCAGGTCAAACAGTAGCATCATTTTCTCCAAGGTTTTTAAATTTTCTTTTTCATTTCTTCATCAACACATTGGTCATTCAGTAGCATGTTATTCAATTTCATGGTGTTGTAAATTTTTTAACTTCAATCCTGTTATTGATTTTGTTTTATGGCTTTTCATTTAAGGGGATGTGTAATAGAGATTATCATATCCAGATGTGAGGATACAATGCAGTTTGCATCTCCACTTTAAAATCAAAGATAGACTCCCAATGAAACTGTTAACTGTATCTTGACAATAGGATGCTGGACTCTCTGTCCATACCTGCAATGTCAGGACACACTTAAATAGCATAATGACTGGGCCCAGCACAATAGCATAGTGGTTAAAGTCCTCGCTTTGAACACACCAAGATCCCATATGGCGCTGGTTCTAATCCCAGCAGCTCCACTTCCCATCCAGCTCCCTGCCTGTGGCCTGGGAAAGCAGTCGAGGTGCAGTTGGGATGCTGCACCTGCATGGAAGACCTGGAAAGAAGTTCTGGCTCCTGGCTTAGGACTGGTGCAGCACCAGCTATTGCGGCCACTTGGGGCGTGTCATCGGATGGAAGGTCTTCTTCTCGGTCTCTCCTCCTCTCTGTATATCTGCCTTTCCAATAAAAATAAATTTTAAAAAATCATAATGACTGCTTATGAAGAACTATTCTATTGTAATAATATAGGGGAAAATGGTTGGGGGGTGGAATTTGGGGAGTGGGTAAGGGAAATCCCAGAGCCTAGGGAACTGTATCATAAAGTAGAAAACAAATGAAAAAAAACAATCTTTTATTTCACTTGCTCATGAACTCGCTGAATACCCTCACAAGTTAATAGTTGCAGTACATTTATCCTGGTTACTTAAAATAAGTAGTTCCTGCTCTGCTTCGTGCTAATGCATTCTGGAGGTAGCATGTGATGACTCCAGTGTATGCATCTTCGCTACCCACACAGGAGATCAGAGTGAGTTCCTGGCTCCTGATTTCAGCCTGACCCAGCCCCAGCTCTGGTGGGTATGTGGGGAGTGAACCAGTAGATGCAAGATCTCTCCCTCTTTGTCTGTTGGTCTGTTTCTCTGTCCCTGCTTTTCAAACTAAAGTTTTAAATGCAATCAAAAGCAACTAGCATGATTTTTCTATTTATTCATTTGAATGTAGATTCAAGAGAGAAGTTTCTCTAATGTATGAGTCTTGACTGTGTGTTTTGGATCCACAGAAATATCCTATAAAGTCACACTGGACATATGAACTGGGAAAGAAAGAGGAGTGGCAGTTTCTCTCCTTCTGCTGAGGCTCGCACTACCTGGATGGCTCTTGTTCTGCTGATGCCAATAGTCTCCCTGCATCCCAAAGCCAGACCCTGCCAGAAAGCTCAATGTGACACCCTTGTTCATCAAAGACATCCCTTACCAGCCAAGCCACTTTGTAATTCTTCCCTTTCGTTTTAAGAGAACTCCAACATCTAGAAACTTTAAGCCAATACGTTCACAAATTGTTAATTTATTATGAGCCCTTCCCGATTCCTGAGGCCTCACAGGCTTGCCCAGGGCTTCGTGACCTGTACCTGCCTGACGCAGGAGGCTCTGATGCCTAACCCCTGGCTACCCAGTGGTACTAGAGCAGGCACTGACAGCCCCTTGAGATTCTGAGTGGCTCCATCCCACCTGAAGAGCTCTCAAGGAAGTTGGACAACATGTGGCCTTCCCATGCCCTCCGGCTGAGCCTCACAGTCCCCTATCCCAACACACAGGCCAGCTCCCTGCGACAACCATCCAACTCCATACCTGGTAGTGCCGGTTGCAGACCCTCAGGAACCAGCTCAGCCTTTTTCAAACTACACTTGCCTTCCTTTAGCTTAAATGTTACACTTGTCCTGATGGTGGCGACATCTTCAGAAAGAAATAAGTGAAAGACGTTACCTTCAGGGGCATAGGTGGGTGACAGCGAGCCACCTGCTGGCTGGGTCCCACCACTATTCACCCTGAGCCCCTTCTCTGCCTGAGACCAGGAGAGTTTTAGATCCAGAGTGCCCATTACCCGGGACACCAGCAGCCTCCTCTGCATCATACCCAGGCCCTCATGAGAGAAGCAAGTCCCCTGTTCAAACAGCACAAAGAAAGGGCCCCCAGACAGCCTCAACAGGAAGACAACAGATGAAACTACGTTTGTGCCTTCGTAAGCAAGAAGGTCAGCATAATTCCCCAGTCCAGATGGGGACAGGACTGTCGCAGGAGCTGGCAAGGGTGCATACAGAACCTCCTGGCCAGACAAGACGGAGGTCACCACTCCAGACCAACATGGTGCCCACTGGGCATGGACGGGCTGGCCAGGCCCCCACCCCCGTGAGGGCTGGTGGGCAGAGTTCTGTCCTCCACTTGGTGTTCATAGACTTGGATTCCAATTCTAGCTCTCTAACTTACATTGAGAACCTGGGCAAGCTAGTCAATCTCTCTAAACCTCAGCTTCCCCATCTGTAAAGAAAGCATCACCACGGCACCTACCTAACCAGGCTGTTGGGAGGATTGAATTAAATAATGCAAAAATAAAAATAAAAAAGTCTATTCAACCAACTGCCTGGGATACAATAAGAACTGTCAGAGTAACTGTCAAAAAAAAAAAAAAAAGAGTAACTGTTAGCTATTGACTTGCTCATTCTTGGGGTGGCCTATGTCACCCATGAACCATTACATAGAGATCTGGTGACAAAGACCAAAACATCTGCTCTGGCAAGAGGGCAGGGAAGGGCAGTGCTCTGGACCCAGACTGCCTGGCCTCAGCTTCCGGCTCCTGCCATCTGGCTCTTCTGGGCTGCCCGGGGTAAGTCACATCACCTGTCTCTACCCTCAGCCCCCAGGCTCTTGCTACAGTAAAGGAGGATGACACTGGCAGAGGAGACACAGCAGGGGGCTGTAGTATGGGTAAAATCAGCTAATACCCAGAATACCTGGGGGGCTGTCACGTTTCACCACCCATGGATGCAAGTGAGCTGCTACTGTCTTGGGTCTCAGGCTTTGCTCATTTGGGTAACACAGGCACCCACACGTCCTGCAGCCATCATCCTGTTCTCATGGCACAGTGACAAAGGGTCTACCGTTGGGGAGAATGGGGCCTCCTGAGACCTCTGGAGTTCCTCCTTAGTCTTTTGATAAAGTAAGGTGGGCTTGGGTCCCTTTCTCAGCACACAATCCCTGTCCTCCATGTTCTGTCCATGCCAACCTTCGTCAGTGCTATGTGCTCCAGGCACATTCCTTGCTGGGGCTTGGAAGTGCTTGGAGCCAGGGAGACTTGCATCTGCTCACGTCAGAGCTCTAAGGGCTTCTGACCCATTGAGGTCAAACACACGCTTCCCAGCATACAGTGTACACCAAGTTTTGGTATCAGGTGGAGTCAGGTTTCAGGCTCTGAAGCTGCAGGCAGGAATACCCAGTAACATGCTCATAGCATGGAGAGGAAGAAAAATTAAAAACCAAGCCAGTGCCCAAGGTCAGCAACCCATGGACGCAGCCCAGTGGACGTAGCAGGCCCCAGAGAGAACACACAGATATGGTCATTACCCCCAAAGGCAGAGTCATTTGGTTTTTGTTGTTTGCTCCTGAGAGGATAGGGAGAGCCGCAGGCAACAGAGTAGGCTTCTTGCAGTCCTAGCAGACAGAACACGGGTTGTCAGCCATGGAAGCAGCAGCAGCAGCAGCTTGGGTCTCCCCCACCCTCACTCTACACGAACCACCAGGAAAATGTCTAGTGCATGGGCCTCTGGGGTCCAGCAGGCATCTGGTCCAGGTCCTGGAATTACTTGGAGGGCAGCTGGACCCCGAGGCCAGGCAGGCCTGACCCTGGCTGAGGACCTGCCCTGGGTTCTGGGCCCCACTCACCTGAAGAGAGGTGAATGCCAGAGTGACATCGGAGGAAGCACCTGTCTCCACCACTCTTAGTGCAACGCAGAGACACTGGGGGTGATACACTAGTGCGCAGGAGCCCCTGCACTTCTGCACAGGATAAAACACACACACACACTTACAGAGAAGGGCATTTCCTCCAAGCACAGGACCAAGGGTGGATGGCACAGCCCACACACCAAAGACCTCGGGGAAGGAAGGGTGAGCTGGTGCCTAGCACAGAACCCTGACATCAGGCCTCACGTCCCCCACCAAGGTCAAGCAGCCCAGGAAAGGCCAGTTTTCCATGCAGGAAAACAGAAGTTCCAACATACGCAGGAGCAGAGAGAGATGCCCAAGAGCCTGCCAAGTATCTCCTGTTTTTGAGCTCTTTAAAGAACAGGGTGCTGCTGCCCAAGGGAGCACAGGTGGGTGGAAGGAGCTGCAGCATGCGCACACATGGGCCCAGGGCGCAGGCGCCACCAGCCGTGCCCCTTACCCACACAGTCTTTCTTGTTCCAGTGAAGCTTGTACCCCGGGTGACACTGGCACTCGTAGCTGCCGGGTGTGTTCACACAGACCTGCTCGCAGCCTCCATTGTTGATGCTGCATTCATCGGTATCTGTGGAACAAAAAACAGGCCTCTGTCACATAGCATCCCAGCCACTCACTGGCCCCAGCTCTCCCCTTGAGCAAGGAGCAGCAGGTTGTCAGCTGGTGCAAACTCACCAAACAAGTGGCAGGTGCTGCCTGCCTTCAGGACTTACGCTGGGTACCTCCTGGCCCCACATCCCCCTAGATAGATTTGCTTGCTAGGGCAATCCAAAAATCAAAGTACTGTCTTGACCTCGGAAAGGACCTCACTGTGCTTTCCCAGGGTCACTCTCAGACCTTGCACAGGCTTCTCATGCAAACAGCATCATCCTCCTGGCCACAATCCAGGGAAGTGTGCAGTCAGGACCTGCTGCTGACCTGAAGGCTGGGTGGCACGAATGAGGTACAGGTAAGGAAGTGGTTCACCTCTGACCAAGGCCAGACATGCAGACCTACTTGGCATCCATTCCTGTTAGACTGTGGTGAGTCTGCAAGAATGGGTTGAAAGAGAGGTGGGGTCTGGTGCAATAGTTTAGTAGCTAAATCATCACTTGCATGCACTGGGGTTCCATATGGGTGCCGGTTCGTGTCCTGGCTGCTCCACTTCCCATCTAGCTCCCTGCTTGTGGTCTGGGAAAGCAGTAGAGGACGACCCAAGGCCTTGGGACCCTGCACCCATGTGGGAGACCTGGAAGAAGCTCCTGGCTCCTGACTTTGGCTCAGCTCAGCTCTAACCATTGTGGCTACTTGGGGAGTGAACCAGTGGACAGAGATCTTTCTGTTTCTCCTTCTCTCTGTAAATATGATTTTCCAATAAAAATAAATAAGTCTAAAGAAATAAAGGAAGGAAGGATGAAAGGAAGACAGTGAGGAAGGATGGGAAGGGGGAGGGAGGGAGAAAGGAAAGGAAGGAAGGAGAGGAGAAAGCAGTGGCCTCCCGTATCAGGGTACCTGGGTTTGAGGTCCCTGCTCTGTTTCAATTCCAGCTTCCTCCAAAGCACATCCTGTGGAGTAGCAGGTCATGGTCCAAACATCTTAGTCCTTCCTACACCATAAGGGAGTCCTAGACGGAATTCCAGGCTCCTGGATTCAGGCTGGCCCAGCTCTGACTAGTGTGGCCATTTTGGGGTTGAACCACAACTCTGTCTTTTTCCTTCTCTCTTCTTCTCAAATAAATAAAATTAAGTTAATTTTAGAAAGCAGAGGGAGACAACATTGTCTGTAGCAAATCCCAACTCTCCACTCTTCCTAAACACAGGATGTGGGACTGGACAGGAAGTCTATCTGCCAGGGTTCCTCAAGTCGGACAAACCCTCTACACCTCCTTGAGGCCCTGGATTTTCAGGGTTGGACTCAGTCTGTGTTCTCAAAGACTGCAGGGGCATCTGATGACCAGGAGTGTGGAAGGGGAGACAGTTGGCATCACATCTGATGGATGCCAGGGCCTGCCTGACCATAAGGCTCTGAGACATGAGAACATGTTTCTAAATGTGTACAGAACAGAGAGATTAACCCTGTGGTTCCACTTCCAGCTCCAAGACCCAAGTATGGGGCTCTGACCAGGGCTTCACAGCAATTCCTATGCATCGTGGGGCTGTAGGATCAGCTGGGGCCATGCCAAGCCTCTCCGAGGACAGCAACTGTACATTCTGCTGAGTGCCAGTGGATGAGGTGCCAGCTCAGGAGACTCTCTCAACTCTGAATACCACCCCAGGAGATACAACATAAAGGGCTCAGCTCCTTGCCCTGTCTCATGGCACAGTAGGTGTGTTCCAGGGCTGGAGGCGGACAGACCATCTTCAGCAGCTGCTCTCCTGACACCCCGTTGCATAGGCACCCAAGGGCTCAGGACCTGCTCCACCATCCACCTGCTCCCTTCAGAGGGGCGGCCTGCTCACCTCCACAGTGGGTAAAGCCATACAAGGTGTACCCTTGGTTGCAAGCACAAGCAAATGTGCCAGGGTAGTTGATGCAGCTGTGGTCACAGGTCCTGTCCAAAGAGCACTCGTCCACGTCTGAAATTGTCAAAGGAAGAGGACAGTTGAAACAAACAGGCCTGGATGCTCAGGAAGAGAAGGTTCAGCATTAACACCAGCTGCTGGCCACCAACCAAAACACCACCCACAGGGTGAGAGAGGAGCCATTCTCCTTGCCACGCTGAGTACAGTACACTCAGTGCCAAGGCTCAGATTGCCAAATTCTGTTGCAAACTGCACTTTGCCTCAAAACTCAATTGGTCTTTCTCATTCTTGCTTATTTGCAGGGATGAGGAATTTAAACTACCTCAATGATGCCAACATTTGGCCTGGCAGTTAATATTCCAGGATACAGTTGGCTGTATCCTACACTTGAAAGGCCTGAGTTCCATACCTACCTTGACTCCTTACCTCGGTTTCCTACTAATGCAGATCCTGGGATGCAGCAGCAATAATGCATCAACCAACTAACTGGCTCCTGCCACTCACAAGGGAGATCTGAACTGAGTTCTGAGCTCCTGAAACTGCCTCCTGGCTACTGGGGGATTTGGGCAGTGAACCAGCAGGGGAGGGTGCTCGCTCACACTCTCTAGCTTGCTCTCTGTCTCTCAAATAAATAAATAAAATTTTTTACAAAACCTAAATGAAGTAAAATGAGATAACATATTTACAAAGGGCATCATAAAACCTATTTTAAAAAGTAATGCCAGGTGCCCCAGCAGCTGTGGCATAGCATGGAAGTCATCGCCTGCCATGCCAGCAAGCCTCATGGGTGCAGGTTCAAGTCCTGGATGCTCCACTGCCAATCTAGCTCCCTGCTAATGCTCCTGGGGAAGCAATGGAAGGTGGTCCAAGTCCTTGGTCTTCTGAACCCACGTGGAAGTCCTGGATAAAGATCCTGGATCTTGGCTTCATGCTGGGCCAGCCCCAACTGTTGGGGCCATTTGGGGAATGAACTAGCAAATGGAAGAGCTAGTTTCTCTCTCTCTCTCTCTCTCTTCCTAGCTCTTTCAAACAAATTAATCAATCTTCAAAATTGCTCATGTACTCATACACATATATTACCAAGTATGTTACTCTTGGTAAAACAGCAATATTTATAAGCTATGGAAAACTGAAAGGCAAAAACACTTAGGTTGGAGTTAAATTTGCTTCCTATCACTTTCTGATCATTCCAAAATTAGTCTTTTGGCCCTATTGGGCCAGAAGAGTTTTGGCCTCTGCAAAGAAACAATGTGTTAACATACATGTCCTTGGTCATTTTCTACCATGAACATAGGGATTCAGTGACAAAGCTTTAGACTGGGTCCTCTGGACCAGCATCGTGGTTTTGTTCCTCTCCTGTGGCTTCATGTGTCCCCCTCTTCCTGGTTCTGTGTGGACACATTCTCGGCTATAGCTAGGATCAAGCAACCCTGCCTCAGGAGGCTACCTTTGTCCATCTGGTCACCTTGTTGTCCCTGTTCTGGCCCTCACAGCTTTCCTGCGGACTAGAATTCCATAGTTTTCACTCACTGAGCTCTTAGGGAAGGCTCTAACGCAGGTCTCCAGACAGAACCAGGCCAGGGCGGCACTCTGCCGCAGCCAGCTAGCCCACTGCCAGACCACTTTTTCAACACTGGTTGTGCCATGAGAAACTGCATTAACAAAAAGCAAACATTTGGGTGGAATGCGAAGAATGAAGAAGTGCAATTAAAAAAGGGCAAATTCTTGCAAAACCTCTTCATCCCCAGCTTTTCCCAGAAATCCTGGCGATGTCTTCAGTAAATTTGCTCTGTGCAAATATTTGTTCTCCCAAGACTGATCAGTGAAAAAGAAGAAAAAATCAGCTTCTTTCCTGGTAATTGATGCCATTCTATGAAATCTGTTTTTAATATTAGCCAGCCATGGAGAAAGTGGACTTATTCGGTAGCTGGCTTTGGCGGTTCGCTCAGGGCTTTTGCTTTGCCAAAAATAATGAGATCACTTTTCTAATTCCTTTTTAATGTGTTTACACAGCTTAGGCAGGATTGCTTGTCCTATACATTAGGAAACATTATGTGTAACGGCAAATTGGTCTTCCAAGTCAAACTGTGGCAAACCACACAATCATCCTCCAGCAGAACTCACAAGATCTAAAGGAGAATATACATGAATTGTATGTGAAGAATAAAAAAAGAAACAACTCCCACTGAGAGGCTGAAAAGAGGTAATGCTTCATCCTTCTTATCTGCAGTGAAATCAGATGGTGTGTTCTGATGTTGATTCAGTCCTGAGATTTCTAAAAGCCCTTATTCCCAGAAATGGAGCAAGGGTCTTGACTGTGGATCCACTCCAGCTTTTTTGCTAGGAAGACCCGTCCACAGATTTCTGCCACCACCTTTTGTTATAGACTTTGTACCATCAGAAAAAATTGCAGGAGAGAAAAAGTGTTTGTAGCTTCTCCCCTGCCCCCAGAAGACAAGGCTGTCTTGTCTCTGTATTGCTTTCTGACTGTGAGCTCTGCAATAATCACACTGGACATGTGCTTCAAAGTGTTTGCTAACTGCTAGCAGCTCTATTTCTGCCCACCAGCCTGAAGGAGCATCAGTGTGTGCAACCTATAGAGGTGGCACCCCAGGCTGGAGGCTGGGTTGGGCACTCCCTCAAGGAGCCCAGCAAGCCAGTCCCTGCTGGGAACTGGCTGCTTCCCCTCTGATTTCCTCTGCTGCACCATGTGAGCCACCGTGCTGTGCAGCCATGTTCTCAGCACATACCTTGGCAAGACTTCTCATCTGTTAATAATTTAAACCCTTTCTTGCAGCCGCAGTCGAAACTGCCCACGGTGTTTCTGCAGAAATGATCACAGCCCCCGTTGTGGGTCTGACACTCATCAATATCTGTAAGAGGCAAGCATAGGCAAATTAGAGCACAGCGGCCACCTGTTCCCCTTCACGCCCCCGCAAGCCCCTCAGGTGCTGTTGTGCTGTTCATGAGGCCCTAAAATACACACAGGTCAGTAACAGCACTGCTGTTGATGGGAGTCTCCCACCTTTTCCTGCTTAACCCAGATGGTCTTGAAGGACAAGTGCCTGGCCCCCCTGGTGATGGAGAATGCCCTTGACTTGCACCAAGGAAGCAAACTCTGGCACTGTCTGGTCCTAATCCTGGTATTGCTCTCCCAAGATAATGTGGTTCCCTGTAGTGTGTTTTCTATGCTAGCTTAATGATTAAAGGTCAAGGGATTAGAGCATTCAGGATTTTTTTTTTTTTTTTTTTTGGTGAGTTACACAATGATCAAATAGCTTCAATGCTTTTAAACGATTCCTGATACTCAGTCTTATCTTCTCTCAGTTTCATCTGGTAACAGGCTATCTCATTTTTATCATGCTAAAGAACCAATCCTTTGTACTCTCACCCTGAAACACTAGCAGTCGCTGGGATCTCTCTTCATCAGTAAGACTTAATGGTACAGTTATTCATTAAGTTTTCCAGATAATGATCTTAGCTGTTATTTACATAATAATCTCTAGGCTATTATTTATGATTTGTTGATATTATCTGCTGCAAATGAACACTCCTTGAACTGCCTTTTTCCAACAAAGCCCACTGTCTGAAATGAATTAGTTGATGCTTGCAGAGAGAGGCTGACCTCTTCCATAGTTAGTGTAATTAAGCTGGATCTAATTGAGCTTACTCAACGATAACCGTCCACTGGTCCCGGGAGGGAATCATGAGCAAATCCAGAGTGACTCAGCAAGCGTGTGGAGGGGCCTCGATCCCTTTAGCCCCCGTAGCATGGGGCTGCCCCCTCCCCACAAGGCAGGGTACCCAGCCTCCCTGGAGAGGTGAAGGCTACCTTTACAAGTCTTCCCATCCAGCTGCAGAGTGAAGCCAACAGGACAGCTACAGTGAACACCTGTTGAAGTGTCCTTGCAGGTGCGATCACAGCCTCCGTTGTTGACAGCACAAGTTTCTGACAGGGAGGTAAGGAGAAAGGCAGTTAGCTTCTTAGAGAAACACTGATACTGTTGTTAATATTTGACAAAGTGCTGCAAAGCCAAGGAACACAATGGGGTGCTCATAGCCACACCCTGAGTCTCTGCTACCTGCAGGTGAGCTAGAGGGAGGACAGGTGTGGTGCTTCTCACCCATCTATGAGTTTTGTTTCCCGAGGCAGCTGGTCTGGATGACCAGAAGGGCCAAGGTGTCACCCAGCCTGCAGAGCCATTTCCTGGTGTTGGTGGATTTCAGACAGCAGCTGCGCAGACAGCCACCTGCTGATGGTGACCACACCCTGCAGGCGTGTGAGTGCAAGTCCTTAGACATGAGCCTTCTTTCAATCTAAGCAAGTCAGGGTAAGCATCGCACATCCCCAGGATTCCCTGGTTGCAGACTAATGATGCCATCCTTACAGCTGCGAATCTACCCAGGTGAGATGCCTACCCTCCCGAGAGGAGGAAGCCCTATCAGAACTACATGAAAGATCTGCCATACCTATCAACCCTCAACCCTGGTGACAAGGCACCCTGAGGAATCGGCCTTCCCAGGCTACAGGGCCTACAGTTACCAACAGACGAGTGTTACTCAACATCACTTGATATATTAGCATCTAGGCATCTGGATTTTACTTTCATAGCTGTCTCATTTTAAAGTTGGGAGGAACAAGCTTAGGTTTCCTCTCAAAACCTCCCCAAAGTGAGAGTGGGTGGACTCATTAAAACATTTTAAATCTTATGGACAGAGAAACTGGAACAAAACAGTAGAGGAAAGATGTGTAATATTCTGTTGTGGCTGACAACAGGAGGGGTGCTCCAGGTGGCAGGCTCATGGGAGTCCCCGAACCCAGATAGGCCTAGGAACTGCAGGGACCAGGGGCCTGAGCAGCTGATATGAGGATGGGATTAAAACAGTGAGACGGCTTGAGGGTCAGTGGGAGAAACAAATTCCAGGCTTCTCCAGGATCCCAACAGCCATGTAGCCGCCTTGGACACACCCACTGGCACAGCTGGACCCACGAGGCACCAGGAGCAGCAGAGGAGGAGAAGCAGGTGCAGTCCAGGCCCTCAGAGCAAGATGTGAGCGCCACATCTTCTGCTCTAAAGGCAGGACACAGAAGGATTCCTCTCCAGCTAAACCAAGTGGCAAGACCTCCAGGGACTGTTACTTGAGGCTGTCCAAGTGAATTGGTTGAGTCACCATTCTGTCAACCAAACAGGAAGTCCCCCACTCCCCCCAGAGGATCGCACATCCCCCAGCGTTGTAGTTTCTCACTATGTGACAAGAAAAATCAGCCAGTAGTCACCAGGTGCTACAGGAAAACCTTGGATGCAAAAACATACAGCAAATAAAACAGAGCCAAAGCAAGGCCAAACGGAAGTTGGACTCTTACCAGGAATGTCTTCCAACTCACAAAGTAAGAGCAAGTTCTTACCACAAAAAGATGAAGTGACATTCTTTACAAATTAAGGATATAAAAATGGACAAAGAATCCTATAGAAATATTAGAGAAAACAAATGGAAAATCTCCTAGAAGGAACAAGAACAAAGAAGGGAAAATCCAAGGGTGAATCCAGGAATTACAGCAGCCACTCACAGATATGCCAAGGAAGAACAGCAGGCAAGGTAACGCGGACAAGATTATCAAAGGAAAAGTGTGAGAAAACTTCTCAGAACCAAGGGGCTGAATCGTCATGCAGAAGGTGCTGCTGGGGAGAAAAGTCCCACAGGGAGAGACTATGCCACGGCGTAGGAGCATAACATCCTATACAGGTGCCAGTTTGCATCCCACTGCTCCACTTCCCATCCAGCTCCCTGCTTGTGGCCTGGGAAAGCAGTTGAGCACAGCCCAAAGCCTTGGGACCCTGTGCCTGCGTGGGAGACCCAGAGGAGGCTCCTGGATCCTGGCTTCAGATAGACTCAGCATCACCCATTGTGGCCACTTGCGGAAAGAACCAGCAGATGGAAGATCTTTTCTCTTTCTATCCCTCCTTCTCTCTGTATATCTGCCTTTCTGATAAGAATAAATAAATATTTTTTAAAAAGATAAAAATAAAACCAGAAAAGTGAATGAGTATGTCACGTGCCATATTTAAACTTAATGGAAAAGGTTTTAGAGCTCTGTGAGGAATTTGCAGGAGAATGAACAAACGGTACTAAAAAACTAATAAAATGCAATCATGGTCCATGACATGACTTAAGAGTGAGTTTTACTTTGAGATTCACAGGGACAGTAACGTAAAAAAGGAGACTGATTTGAATTATGATAAAGCCACATCCAGGGTATGGGAGGAAGGACACATGGGTGTGTACACTGGAGAAGGGGGAAGTCTGGTCATCTCTAGGTGGGACAGATACCCCAAGCAATGACTGGCTATGGGACGGACATCCCAGGCAATGACTGACTATGCTTCATGTTTCAGCCAGATGGGAGAGGAGGAGTCAGAAAATTGTTGCTTCTGGTCAAAAGGAAGCAGGGGTTGTGAGCTAAGATGATGATCAGGAGCTTTGGATGGGCTTCACACACACTATTTTAATCTAATGTAATCGGAAACAGTAACTCCAAAAAGGGCTCACAGAATAGTGACCTGCTTGGTAGCCAATGGCTGTCCCATAATCCAACCTGACCATTCAGTTCAGGTGCTGGCAAAAGGCCAGTTTGCTCAGACCCAGTGGGCTTTCTCGGGAATAACAATGTGTTGGAGCCTCAGTCTGGTTCCCACCCGCAGTCACCGCCTCTGTTCTGACTTTTGTCCCCAACTTGCCTGTCAAACCTGCTGGCTGGCCTTCCCAGGCCCTCAGTCCCAGGCTGCTCTGCCCCGTTTGTTTCTCCTGCTGTCAGGATTAGCTGAGCCATGATCAGAAAGTTTGGCGGGTACAGACCCAGACAAGCCACCACACTGTGCTTGCTACCCAGCGCACCTCTCTTGTGCCAGCTCTCAGATGGCAAGTGACATTCCCAGACCACCCACCCTGTCACGAGTGCTGGCCTCCCATCACCCGGGCATTTCCCTATTTAAAATGAGTTCCTGAGACTCCAAGAGACGGATGCGATGACATTCAACTTAAAGAAAGACCAAGTGACGGAGGTGGCTCAGGACAGCTTGCTAACCCTGTCATAGGTGGCTGGCACAGTCCTGGGTCATTAACCTGGATATTCTGATGGGGCTGGCTGGAGTCTTTGATGGTTTTTGGCAGTAGTGGTGGGCAAAACACAGACCGCCCAGAACTCTGCTCACCCTATGCGCTGATCTGAGGGCACAGGACCCCATGGTGAGCCAGGGAGGGGACTGGCAGCACCTACCCATGAGCAGCCGTCGTTTCACTCTCTTGTCCCCATCCACCATTGCCAATGTCGCATTGCTCTCGATCACCTCTAAGGCGGTGTCCTCTCGCTCTAAAGCAGAAGCAAAAGACCACATGTTCTCGAACCAAATGTTCTCACCCTCCACAGCCATTTTGTGAACTCCCAGATGTGAGAACAGTGTGAAATGTTGGACTCTGTCCATTCAGTCAACAAGTGCTGTAGCAAGAGTCAGCAGGGAAATGTAGTACGTTCAATCCACAGATCCTTAAGCACATAAAACAGGGCCAAAGGTTTTTAAGTATCTGGCACTAACCAAAGAATTGTCAGGGAATGCAAGCTTCTGATTCACCCCAATCCCCCTAGACCAGGGCAAAAAGCTGTGGCCTAAGACATTTCCACAGTGGAGCTAGCAGAGCACACGCAAGCAGGGCAGGCCAGGAAGCAGCCTGCTGATAGGCAAAGTTGCTGTGGCATGAGCAACAGTTAGCTCTAATTCTGTGCTTCCTGGCCCTGGGATGCATCATCCCCTATCTCTAGAACACCCTCTTCAGGAAGGAACGGCCCTGGAAGGTTGCACGTGGAAGTAGGGGCCTCTACTCCAGGCCATGGCCACTTCCCCTGCAACACTGGCACTGGCCTGGGGCATCTCTGGAAACAAATGCACCAGAACCACCTACACTTGATGTTGCACATCATGAAGGATTAGGGTTGGGGTTGGAGCTAAGGTCAGGGTCAGAGTTGGGGTTGGGGTTTGTGTTAGATTCAGTTTGGGATGATGGTTAGGGAGGGGTAGGCCAGGGCAGGCTCTCGCCACTGGGCAGGTTGCCACTCACCAATGCAGCTTTTCCCATCTGTGTGTATCTGGTACTGCGGATGACAGCTACACTCAGGGCCTTCAGCTGTGTCTTCACAGGAGTGCTGGCAGCCGCCATTTCCATGGTTACAGGTCACTGAGAGCAAAAGGAGTCACTATGTAGTGCTCTGATGAGTCCCATGCCCATGGCTGTGCTCACCACAGAGGCACTTAGCTTCTTACTCCATGAGTGTTTGCTCTGATGAGTCCCACGCCCATGGCTGTGCTCACAACAGAGGCACTTAGCTTCTTACTCCATGAGTGTTTAAGCACCCAGTCTTGGCCAGGGACTGTACACAAAACAAGGCTGCTTAAGGCCTGCTTAAGGTCCTCATCTGTGCAAGTAGAGTCACAACCAACGAGACAATCAATGAACCCGCTGGACCCAGGTGTGAGCAGGGTTGGCTAGATGGGAGCACCTCTCCCTCTGGCTCTCTTTTTTCTAACTCTGGCTTTTAAACAAAATTATTTAAGAGGCTGACACCAGCTTCACTTATGGGCAGCAGCTCAAATCCTGGCTGCACCACTTTCCATCCAGCTTTCTGCTCATGTACCTGGGGCAAGAAGTGGAGGATGACCCAAGCACTTGGACCCCTGCCATCCACGTGAGAGACCTGAAAGAAGCTCCTGGCTCCTGCCTTTGGATCAGCCCAGCTCTGCTGCAGCAACCATCTAGAGAGTGAACCAGTGGATGGAACTCAATGTCTCCTCTCTCTCTCCCTCATGCTTCCTCGTTCTACCCTCTCTTTCTGTAACACTACCTTTCAAATAAAAGATGGGATCTCTGAGGCAGATGTTCATGGTGGAAGGGGGATTATATCTACACCATGGCTTTGCTCTATTGAGAGAAATTTTCCTATGAAAACTTTCCAGCACTGCACTGGGACACACAGCAGGAATAAACAGACAATATTTAAGTTGTCCGTGCACTCACACATTGGGATTTCTCGCACGTGATTCCATCTAGATGACTTTGAAGGGAAGATAATCAGAAGAAATGATGACTTTCTGGGTCCCATTAATGCTACCTTAACCAATAATTATGAAAACTGGGTACAAACGCATTGATCACAGGCCAAAAAAGAAAAGAAAAAAAAAAGCCAACTACAAAACTATCTACTCATCAAGCTGTGAACAGCAGTTACCTCTGGCAATGAATTGGGAGGGAGGAAAACCACACATTCTCTTTGTACACTTTGGAGTGTTTGAATTCTTTCACGGGCCTTTGTAATTTTTCTAATTGGTAAAAAAAAAAAAAAACCTAATTACATATTGGGGACATGAGAAAGTGGTCTGTGATGACAGCTGTGGAACAGTAGGGTATGCCTGGGGTCAGTAACCACCCAGGAACAGGAGAGACAGCTAACAGCCGGGCTTGGGTGCAGGTCTTTCTTGTTAATAATATCTCTAGAACATTTTAAACTTTGAAAAGTCAGCAGACAGGTGCCCTGCCTCCAGCCCCTAAGAAACCTGTGATGTTTAGCTCCTGGATCTCCATGACACATCTGGGTGGCCCTCCTTTCAATGGCTTGGGGGCTGGGGAAGGCGTTGGAGGTGCTGCAGAGCAACGGGAGGTGGTTTAGCCACTCATTGCCACTGTGCCTGTGGTACTGTGCCCTCCCCCACAGCCTTCCACTCAGAACAGTCCTCCATGGCTGGGAGTCAGCTGAGACACAGCTCTTGGAGAGCCCAGCCTGGGAAAGAGCTTCATCCTGGTCCTCAGCAGAAGGCAAGTATGGCAGAGTTCACTCAGCCAGGGAGGTAGGTGGGCTTGGGAAAGGACTAGAGGCATCTAAGAATGGGCAGTACCCCCCACAAAATGCCAAGATCCTAACCTCTGGAGAAGGGAGACAACCAGGAGCTTCCGAAGGACACAGACACCCGGTGGCATCAAGAGCTGAGATTGGCTAGGTAAGGCCATGTGACTTTATTCAGACAGAATACAAAGACCTGCTCCCTGACCCCCACCCCTTGCACTCACCCTCCTGCCTCCTGGATTTCATTCCTTTCAGGTTAGGTCCTTAGAAAACAGCATTTCCCGTCCCTACAGGAAATGTGACCTGTGCAGCAAGTCACTCAGCAGTGGCCCATCTCCTCCCACATCCTGCAGGAGCCTGCTGCTGAGTTCAGCCACAGTGTGTCTGAAGCCAGGCCACAGGAGGTATCTGCTGGATGTTCCCTGCATGAGGGAGGGTTGTACTTACAGACGCAGTCTCTCTGGTTCTTGGCCAGCTCGAAACCAGGCCTGCACTCGCAGGCGACGCTGCCCCGTGGGGCCTCCTTGCAGATGTGGCTACAGCCGTGATCCTTGTTCATGCAGCTCAGGCCTTCTGCAAGACAGCAGCATGCAGCAGGTGACCAGTCACCGACAAAAACCCCAATCCCCCAACCATGACCCCCGGGTCGTTGCTCGGGTTGGAGGACTGGCCCACAACACTGTCTGCCTGAACCTCTGGCAGCCTCAATTTGAAAAGAATGTCATTAAAATCAAGCTTGGTCAGCTAACAGAGATATGTTTTCTAAAATTATGCAAGAGATCGAATAGCAACTTGCTTGAAGATGCAAGAGCCCTTATAACAAGCTGGAGCTCAGTCCTAGGGGTACAGACCCCATGATCCAGAAGGAAGACTGAACCCTGCCACATCTTCACCCACTGGCTGAATGAGAAGACAAACCAAGGGGCCAACATATGGCCAAGCAGGTACAGCAACTGCATGAAACTCCGGCATCCAGATGAGCAACGGTTCATGCCCAGGTTGCTGCATTTCTGATCCAATTCCCTGCTTGTGGCTTGGGAAAAACCCAAGAAGATTAACAAGTGTTTGGGCACCTGCAATCCAGGTGGGAGACACAAAAAAAGCTCCTGGCGTCAGCTTGACCAGCAGTGGCCCTTGAGAACCTCTGGTGGAGTGGACCAGAGAATGGAAGATGTCTCTCTCTCTCTCTCTCTCTGTTTCTCCCTTTCTGTCTGTAATTCTTTCACAATTAATAAATATTTTAAATTAAATAATTCAGAATGCATGGGAAAATGAAAATCCTCCTAAGAAAGTTGTGGATGAGGCCAGTGCTATGGCATGTTAAGCTCTGCCAGTAATATCTACAGCCAGGCTGTTTGCTTCCAGTCCAACTCCTTGTCAATGCACCTGGGGAGGCAATAACTAATGGCCCACGTGCTTGAGTCTCTGCCGTCCACATGGGAGACCCGGAAGGAGGTCCTGGCTCCTGACTTCAGTTTGATCCAGCCTTGCCCATCGCAGTCTTTGGGAGAGTGAACCAGCAGACAGAAGAGCTCGCGCTCTCTCTCCCTCTCTCCATCTCTCTATTTCTGTTACTCAGCGTTTTTATAGATAAATCTTTTTAGACAGAAAGACTACAGAGAGAATAGTGATGCTATCTAATTCTTTGTTTAAAGATCTAACTATCTAAAATACAGCAGAGTTACAGAGACAGGAGGGGAGACAAAATGAAAACAAAATCTTTTGTCCGCTAATTCACTTCACACATGACCGCTAGGGCCAGCACTGGGCCAGCACTGGGCCAAGCTGAAGCCAAGAGCCCCTTCTAAGATTCCCACATGGATGATGAGGACCCAAGCACTTCACCCATCTTCTGATGCTTTTCCCAGGCTATCAGCAGGGACCTGGATTGGAAGTGGAGCAGCCAGGATATGAACTGGTGCCCATATGATATGCCAGCATCGCAGGTGGCAGCTTTGTCCACTACACTATAATGCTAGTACCCACATTCAACTCTTAAAGATAATGTTCAAAAAAATTCAATCTCCCTCTGCATTTTCCCCAAATCCACGCTGGGGGTTGAGCCAGAATCAAAGTCAGAAGCCAAGAACTCAATCCAAAGCCTCCTACACTCGAGCCATCACTGCTACCTTGGAAGTTCAGCATTGGTAAGAAGCCGAAGTCAGAAACAGGTGCACAAGTTGAACACGGGTACTCTGTCGTGGCACAGAGGCATCTTAACCTCTAGGCCAAATGTTCACTCCTCAAATCGGCTCTTAGGCAACCTGTTGTCTGCCAGCACTCTGAAGAACTGGATCCTCCCCAGAGACACGGCCCATGCAGGCTGCATTACTGGGGCCTGTCCATGCACTGCATGGTCTGCTTAGTGAACTCCAGAATATCTCTCCAATGAGTGACGTAGTTCCCATCGACTCTCAACTCACAAGACACCTTCCAGTATGGAAAGCAGCACTGTTTTGAGCAAGAGAGTCCAGCCCATCTTGCAGGGTGCCCTGGAAGCCCTAACCAAGTGAGGTTGGAAGTCTCTCCAGCCCCTTCCCCCAGAGTCACCAGTCTGTGCTTAACTGGAAGAGCTGTCCTGACACAAACGGATGCCGTTCCGATTCCAATAGAGAGCACAAGGGGGAAGCCATCCCCTGCTCTCCTGTGTCTCCTTCAGAGCTGCCTAGGTGATATCTGCTAATTAGGAGCTGCGGGCATTCCAGCACTCAGTATGCTGAAGTGGCTGGGATTCAGTCCCCCACGCCAAAGATGCTATCTGTAACCTGGAAAGGACCTTGCCGGACTGGTGGGAGGCTCTCGCCTTTTGCCCCACTGCACCTTGTGAGGATGTTAGTATTTATTCCCCAGGACACAAGGGCAGCTTATGGAAGGCCTGGTATGCACTGTGTTTGTCTTTGGCTCTGTAGAGCATTGGAGATGACCAGAGCAACAGCAAATATGACAGGGTCCAACAGAGGGCGGTGGTCACTCCAAGTGAGAACACTCCTCCACGGGTCAGCTTCTCAAGAATTGTTTTCACTCTGCTTGCCAGTCTGTTGAAGCATCTGCAAGGGCTCAATTGTCTAATTTTCTACTTGCAAGCGCCAGCATCCCATATGGGTACAAGTTCCTGTCCCAGATGTTCCAACTCCCAATTAGCTTCCTGCTAATGGCTTGGCAGAACAGGAGAGAATGGCCCAGGTTCTTGGGAAACCTGGAAGAAGTTCCTGGCTCCAGGCTTTGGATCAGCTCAGCTCTGGCCATTGTGGTCACTTGGGGCATGAACTAGTAGATGAAAGCTCTTCCTCTCTGTATCTCCCTGTCTCTGTAAATCTGCCTTTCCAATAAAAATAAATAAATCTTAAAGTGACCTTTATGCCTTGGAGTGATTCATTTCCACAAGGAACATTTCACCTCAAGATCCAAGGCCACTGGGGCACAAAGACAAACTGCCCCCTGCTATCCTATGAAACAGTGCCAGACCTGAAGTTCCCAGGAGGCAATGGAGGCAATGGAGGCTCTGGAAACACAGCTTCTTGGCTAGTAAACACAACGTCTCTCTCCAGGAACCCTGACAGTACACAAGGCCCCGTGAGGGGCAGCAGGTGGATCTTTTCCACACTGGGAGGAGGCCCCGCCAAAGTCCCAGAGACTGACTTGGCAGTCACGTCCAAAGATGTGTGTTTCCAGAAACACTGGAAAGACCCCATGCTGGTGCTCCCCAGGCCCCAGGCTTCCCCTGAAGGTTCTTTCTGAAAACCAAAAATATAAAATAAAAACATGCCTTGAGATGAGGGGTGAGCAACATTGCCACCCTGGGAAACAGACCTGTGCCCAACCCAGGCACCATCCCACATATCCTCAAGGCAGGTCAAGTAAGAGGAACACCTGTGGAAGGGAACAAAGGCAGGCTGGGCTGAGGTGCTGCCCTGTAGCCAACCCTCACTCCACAGCGGAAACACAAAGGCTCTGGATAAAGGCTGGGACAAAACAGTCGGTGGCCTCGGCTCAGCCTCAGCACCAGCTGCCAGCACTCCTGAGCTGAAGAACACTTAGGCAAAATCATTGCAAACAGCAGCAGCAGTGCTAGGAAATACAAGGGCTTCCTGCTACTCCCTTTGGAGATTTTAAAAGTCTTAAGATTTTAAAAGTTTTTACTAGGGCCTATTTTGATACCGTTCCTACGGCTCTCAGAGGTACCTGGAGGATCCTGGCCTAGAGGACAGGGGACAGGCTGCTTGAGTGAGGATGAAAGACCCACAGCATGGAAGGTCATGCAAACCACCATGATCTGCTGTGGGCCCCAGTGACCAACGGTCTGCCAAGCCAATCAGGTGGAAACATGACTGAACATCACAATTCAAGGTCTCGGGTTTCAGGTTTGAGTTCCAGCCAGGTCTGTTCATTTCCAACACTTTTTAGGGGATCCAAGAGCATCTGAGCTGCGGTGAATTCAGATGACACAGGCTGCAGAGCCAGCTGCTTCTGTTACAAGGAACCAGTGTCCTGCATCAAGCTGGGGGCTTGGGCCTGGTGCTGGAGCTGAAGGAGTAGCAAAGCATCCCCCAAGCTGCTCTGTGAGTCAGGGGATGGGAGACCCCTTCTAGGAGTGTCCAGGGGATGCCCTCCAGGGACCCTTCCTTTCCCAGCACCTGAAGGGAAGCACAGAAAGCAAAAGGGGAGACACCCTGAGACTTGAGTCATTCTGTGCCATGGGGATCTTTATTTATTTTGGGCCCGGTGTGGTAGCCTAGTGGCTAAAGTCCTCGCCTTGCATGTGCCCGGGATCCCATATAGGTACCAGTTCCTGTCCTGGCTGCCCTGCTTCCCATCCAGCTCCCTGCTTGTGACCCAGGAAAGCAGCTGTGGATGGCCCAAAGCCTTGGAACCACGTACCCATGTGTGAGACCTGGAAGAGGCCTCTGGCTCCTGGCTTCAGATTGGCTCAGCTCTGGCCATTGCAGCCACTTGGGGAGTTAATCAATGAGCAGAAGATCTTCACCTCTGTCTCTGCTCCTCTCTGTATATATGATTTTCTAATAAAAATGAATTTTTAAAAATTTTTAAAGATTTTTATTTCTTTTTATTTGAAACACAGATTTTATAGAGACAGAAGGAGAAACAGAGAAAGTCTTATCCTTTGGTTCACTCCCCAAATGGTTGCAACAACCAGAGCTAAGTTGATCAGGAGCCAGGAATTTCTTCTGGGTCTCCCACATAGGTGCATGGGCCCAAGGACTTGGACCGTCCTCCACTGCTTTTCCAGGTCATAAGCGGGGAGCTGGATGGGAAGCGGAGCAACAAGCCCACAAACCAATGCCCACATGGGATGTCGGTGCCACAGGGCGGAGGATTAGCCTGCTGTGTCACTCTGCCAGCCCCACCTAGGGCGATCTCAGGTGACCCCCAGCTCCATGGGGTTCACAGGACTTTGGTGCTTGCCTGAGTAAGAAACCCACAGGAATACGGGCAGCATGAGTGTATGCCTCTCCTGCCCCGATTCCTGAGGACACAGGTTCCAGGAGGTGACAGCCATCAACGCTCCTGGCCCTGCTTTCTCCTACAATTCTGCTTAGTACTCAACAGCCATTCATCCTAACAAGGCTTGAGGCACAAAGTACCATTCCTGTAAAATCATTTTTGAAGGGCAGGTGGGCCTTTGGCACCAAAGCATCATTTTGGACACCAGTATCCTGGCTTGAGCCCCTGATTCGAGTCCCAGGTCCTCTGCTGCAATTTAGTTTACTGCCAATACATACCTTAGGAGGCAGAGGTGATCATTCCAGTACTCGGACTCCTGTCACACATGTGGGGAATCTCGAACTGAATTCAGGCTCCTAGCTTTAGCATGGCCCAGCCCTGGCTGGTATGGGCATCTGGAAAGTGATTTATCAGGGAGAAGGTGTCTGTCTGTCTCTGTTTCTGTCTCTCTTTCAAATACAATGAAAATAAATAAATAAACACTTTAAAAATAATTGCATAGGGCCAGCATGTGAGGAAGCAGATTAAACTGTCATTTGTGATGCTAGCTTTCCATGTTGTTTAAGTCCTAGCTGCTCCACTTCCGATCCAGCTCCTTGTTAATGTGCCCGGGAAAGCAGAAGATGATTCAAGTGCTCAGTACCCTATACTCACATGGGAGATCAGAAGAAGCTTCTGGCTCCTGGTTTGGGCCTGGCCCATCCCTGATCATTATGGTCACTTGGGGAGTGAATGAGCAAATGGAAAGGGGGTGTGTGCATATGTGTGTGTGTGTGTTTTCTCTCTAACTGCATTCTAGCCTTCCAAGTAAGTAAATACATCCTAAAAAAATTATTTGGGGTTGTTGCAGTGGGAGAGCAAGCTAATCCTCTGCCTGCAAGGGCCAGCACTCCATATGAATGCTGGTTTGTGTCCCGGCTGCTCCATCTCCCATCCAGCTCCCTGCTTGTGGCCTAGGAAAGCAGCAAAGGATGGCCCAAAGCTTTGGGACCCTGTACCACATAGGAGTCCCAGAAGAAGCTCCTGACTCCTGACTTTGACAGGCTCAGCTCCGGTCACTGCAGCCATCTGGGAAGTGAGATAGTGGATAAAGGATCTTTCTTTCTGTCTCTCCTTCTCTGTAAATTTGCCTTTCCAATAAAACTAAAATAAATCATTTTTTAAAGGAACTAAACATGACAGCCATGTATATTTGATGCTTCTCCATCCAAAGCATTCATTCAAACAGAGGAATTTTAGAAGGGGTAAATTCATTTGCAAGATGAACAGAAGACCACATAAGGGTCTCCTGCAAACTTAGGGAGCAACAGCAACTGGCAACCACAGTGGAAGGGGCCACAGTGAGGAAGGCCCATGAGCCAGGAGGGAGTCCTCGGGGCCAGAGCCCCAGGAACATGGCTGTAAAAGTCCAAGATGCAGGGAAAGGCCAGAGCCAGCTGGGGGCTTAGAAATAGGACTGTGCATGGAAAAGCACCGATTCAAGGAGCAGGTGCTGCTGCTACTGCAATTCCAGCACCTTCAGGAAACCTGGGCAGGTCACAGTCCTGTGTGTCCTGAGATGCAGTTCACATGTGGAACATACTCTAGGAGGAGGTTGGAGCTGGGGGACTGAGAGAGCTGGGCAGGGCCTGTGGGCTCCCTCACCCAGCCCTTCCTGCTGATTTTGCTGCGAGAAGGGGTGATATTGGAGGATCTGGTTGTAGCACCCCAGCCACAGGATCTGGTCTTAAGCCCTCTGGCTGCCTAACTGCCCTGTGTGAAGTCGCAGCATACAGGCCCAGTCCCCTCCCCGACCCAGGACAGCAGTGAGCACCTTCCGAGCGGTGGATGCACGTGTGCTGGTTGTCGCTCAGGAAAAACCCCTCCTTGCAGAGGCATTCGTAGCTGCCCAGGACATTGACACAGGTGTGCTGGCAGCCGCCGTTGTTCTCCAGGCACTCGTCCACATCTGTGGGGAGAGAGGCATCAGACACTGCTCATTGCTGGTTCAGGACCTCCAGCAGTTCCACACCACCCAGTGGCCATGGGAGAGGTACCCCCAGCCCCCTCTTGGCTCCATAGAAGCACTCAGAATCACACAAGGCCACAGCACTGGGCCTGTGGCAGGGACACATGGTCGTGCGGTGTTACTGGGGCACTTTTTCTTTTCTAAGCATGTGCTGAAGGAGGCAGCAAAACAGAGCGAGCAAGAGAAAACTCTCTCCTCTAGGTGCCTATCCTTCCACGGGGCAGAACAGACCAAGACACAAAGGGTTCTGGGAGAAGGCAGAACAAGGACAGAGGGTGACTTCTAGCTGGGAGGGTTTTCTGGAAAAGCTCACGAGCTGTTAGGAATTTCTACAGGGATAAGTTATGAGAGGGGACTTGGCTGCAGGAGACCCCGATGGCCGAGGCTGTTCAGCCAGCTGTGGACCACTCACCTGATCTGAGCAAAAGTATGAGTAGGGAACTTCTGGGAGATGCAGTGGGGAAGACAAACCAGGGTCACATGGAAAGGACCCCCACTACCCACCCTGGCCAGGCGAAGGCTGCTGAGTTTGGCCTGGACAGCAGGGGTGCACTCTGGACAATGCCCAGGCAGAAAAAAATCAAAAGCGAGAGCATGGCCAGGAAGTCCAGAGGAGGAGGCATCAGAGGTGGGGAGGTCCTCCAGGTCCACCCTGATCTGCTTTAGCCACACCCACAGGGCAGCCCTCGGGGAACACCTCCCCTCAAAATCTGACACCTGCGCATAGCTGTATTAACATACATGACACTGAATTGTGTTCTCAAAGCCCCCCATGTTGATCCATCACCTCTAGACTGCATACCCCATGAGGACAGGGGTAACAGCAGGTGCTGGGCCACTGGACAGTAACTGTACCAACAGGCTGGCATGCACTGCCTTGATAGGGCTAAAGACAGGAAAGCTTCCAGACGACTCTCAGACACAACCAAGGCTCCTGGGAAAGGCTGATATCAAAGTTAGCTATGTCCCCCAGCCTAATTTCTCCCATGTATATTGCTGGCTCCTGGGCATATTCCTAACAAGAAAATCCCCATTTCCATATCTGTTATCTGGTTTCAAGTTTCAGATCTTGCAGTCATCTGTCCTCCCACACTACCAAGCAGATGCCTAACTAAACTGATGGGACCCGAGCCATTCCCCTGCAAGCCTAACAAACCGGCAGCCTCCATCTGTGCCAAAGCATGAGGGAGGCACATTCCAGAGGGCAAGCCACGCCGGGGCGCACCTGGCCTGGGTGCTCCCTCAGACAAGAGGCAAGGCTGGCAAGAGATGCCTGGTGGAATCTTGGAAAAGCTGTGAGCAGAGGGCTGGGCCATGCCCTCTGCGTGGAGGACTAGAGCTAGACAATTTTGTGTGTGTGTGTGTGTGTGTCCCTGGGCTGTGAGCAGAGGGCTGGGCCATACCCTCTGCGTGGAGGACTAGAGCTAGACAATTGTGTGTGTGTGTGTGTGTGTGTGTGTGTGTGTGTGTGTGTGTGTGCGCGCGCGCGCGCGCCTGGGCTGTGAGCAGAGAGGGCTGGGCCATGCCCTCTGTGTGGAGGACTAGAGCTATGCAAGGGTGTGTGTGTGTGTGTACCACTGTGCATGTGCCCAGGCCAATATTATAAAGCAACAGCTATGACCCTGGCTATAGGAGAGATGCCTGTCACCTGGATCACTTTCAGGCTCATGGGTTAGGTTAAGGCAAAGGGAGGTTGGATAAGCCACACTGGTACTTGTAATGCATGAAGCCCTATAACTGGGGCAGCTCCAGATCCTCCACAACTAGAAACTGAAGTCCAGGTAGGTGGTTTTTAAGATTCTAGAATGAGGGCCAGGTTTAACACCAGAGCTAAATGGTGCTTGTTGGCTATCTACTAGGGGTTAAGGTGTAGGAGAGAGAGTCTGCTGTAGGCATTGGGGGCTACCTACTGGGGGTTAAAGTCCATGTGTGTATGTGTGTGTTTGTTCCTGTAGGGGTTGGGGGCCTCCCAGAGAAGAAGGAACCTGCCTGCTGCCCCATAAGCAGGCCTTCAGAGGGCTTCCAGGTTTGCAGTCTAAATGGATTGATTCTCTCACACCTTCCTTTTACAGAACCCCTAACCCCTGCACACACATGCATAGTGGATGCTCCAAGCCACCATGCAGGCAGATGCCAGCTACCAAGTCTGCAGGGACAGCCCAAGAAACTACAAGGACTGAAACATTTCTGGTGTCAGTGGAGACAGGGCAAGAGGTGGGTCCCCCAATTTCCACTGGGGCTGGACCCAGACACCACCCTGCCCTGTCCCAGCCCAGCCCAGGTCCCTGCCCCTTTGATGCTTCTGCCCCTTGCCTCGTGAATCTTGCTTGCAGGACTTGTCTTGTGACACTGACTGCTGGGGACACCTGCGAGGTGTCATGGTCCCCTGGCTTCTGATCAGATCGCACTGACAGCTGCACAGAGTGCAGGCAGGGAACAAAGACCTAGTCCGATAGAGGGGAGGTGGGGGACCCCTGGTGACACTGATAGGGATCAAGGCTACTGGAAAGCCAAGTCCAAAATGAAAATCTTTCCCTTACACATGGCAGAGCCCCTACCCACAAAACGTAGGGCCTGTTGGTACATTCTTCAGAGCCTTGCAGGCCATTCTCAGAGCATTTGGTCAAACGGTCATTCAGTTGTCCTTTTGTTGGCTTGGAGGACAGAGGCAGGCTCGGAAGGTTGAGCGGCCCCACACACAGGTCTGGAGGCTCCCTCACAGGAAGCTCACCAGCATCCAAGGGCCCTGACACCCGAATCTCCTGTGCTGGCGTCTGCCATAACCTGCCAGCCACATGGCTGCAGCATCTGAAGCCACCAAGCTCAGCCCCTGCCAGGAGCTTGCTCCTGCTGCATGCTGCCCTCTCACTAGTCTCGGGAACCAAGACCCCACACCCTGTGGTCTCTCACTAAAGACTGGATCGCCCACAGATGCTTCTGCTTTGTGCAAAATGCAAATTTTCCATCTGATTTTCTTTCTCTCAATATTAAAAAAAGAACAAAAATAAAAACAAACAAACAAACAACAACAACAAAAAACAAATCCCACTAGGTGGGAGCCTCTCTAGCTGCAGCCCAGGCACACACTGGGAATCTTCTGAGGAAGAAGTGCTGCCTCATTGTTGGAAGTAACACACTCACAGCCTTAAAGCACTGGTTACAAGCCGGGACCTTTTCCACAGAAGAGCAAAGATCTTGGAGGGGACAAGACTGTGCTAAGAAATCAGCAAGGAGTCACAACTGGGCCCAGCCAGCTCCTTGGACCAAGGGATTTACATCATGAAAAATCATATAGAAACTAGAACATTGTACGTTTGCTTTTTTTTTAGTCAAGGTGTCTGGTTTCTAAGGGTGCAGAAACTCATGTCTCTCCTTTTGTCTTCATAAGTATGTTTTCACAGAAGACAAGAAAGGGCTGAAGGTGCTGGAGCATGGGGAGAAGAGAAATGCCAATTGCTCGGCTCTCCTTACCAAGACAGTTATGACCATCGTGAGCCAACATGAAACCATCAAAACAGATGCAACGGTAATTGCCTGGAATATTCAGACAGTCATGGACGCAGCCTCCGTTGAGTTCATTTTCACACTCATCAATGTCTGGGGAACAAAACAACCAGGTGTTATTTCTTTGAGGTGGAGACAGAAGCAGTCACCTTGTCTGCCATCCTCTTCCAGCATCCTGCCTTGAAGATATCTCCCCCACCAGGAAAAACAAGGCAATAAGGTTATTCACAGTAGCACTGATGTGATGAGATGATCCTAAAGGCAAATCAGAGGTGCATACACCAGAAATGATTGAATGCCAGCACGTTTGATTGATGGAGTACCACACGACTATAAAAAAAAAAAGGAAGATCTTAGACAGACTTGGAGAGATCTCTAAGACATTCTACTACATGGAAAAATTAAAATGTAAAAGAGTATTTATACAATGCTGCCTTCATGTAAAAAAATAAGGTGGGTTTTCAGGTTTTTTTTTTTTTTGTCAAAACTTGACAAAACAATTCCTAAAATTTATAGGGAAACATGAAAGACTCAGAAAAGTCAATGCAAATTAAAAAAAAAAAGATTGGAAGTATTTACTAGAAAGCTATAGTTGTCAAAACAATGTCAAAACTGTTGTCAAAACTGGCATAAGGACAGTCATATAGACCAATAAAACCAAACTGAGAATGGGGAAATTAATCCTTTTAAAAAAAAACTATGTTTATTTATTTATTTATTGCAAAGTCAGATTTACAGAGAGAAGGAAAGAAAGAGAGAAAGATCTACCATCTGTTGATTCACTTCCCAAGTGGCCAAAACAGCCGGAGCTGAGCTGATCTGAAGCCAGGAGCCAGGAGCCTCCTCTGGGTCTCCCACCTGGAATCAGGGACCCAAGGCCTTGGGCCATCCTCTAATGCTCTCCCAGGCTATAAGCCTTAACCCTTTTATTTTATTTTATTTTATTTTATTTTATTTTATTTTATTTTATTTTATTTTATTTTATTTTATTATGTTATGATACAGTTCCATAGGCCCTGGAATTTGCCTTACCCCATTCCCAAATTCACCCCCCCCCAAATTCCCCTGTATTATTACTATAGTATAATTATTTATAGATAGTCATATGTCCATTATTATGGGCATGGATAATGGCACAGAGTCTAGCATCCTATTGTCAAGATACAGTTAACAGTTTCATTGGGTGTCCACCTTCGGTCTGAAAATAGAGATGCATACTGCATACATCCTCACATTTGGATATGATGGTCTCCATTACACGGTTACTATACATCCCATTAAATGAAAAGCTACAGTACAACACCAACAACAGGAATAAAAATAGAAATTTACAATGCCATGAAGTTAAATAATATGCTACTGAATATGACAGTCTCTACTACAGTCACTGTACATCCCCTTAAGTAAAAAGCCATAACACAAATCAACAAGAAAAAAAAGAATAAAAAATGACATGAAAGTTAAATAACATGCTACTGAATGAGTAATGTGTTGCTGAACAAACAAAAAAGGAAATCAAGAATCTTGAAGAAAATGATGCTACTGTATGATCTATGAATCAGTGAAGAATTCAATGAGAAAGTGTTATGAAGAAATGAAAATTAAAAAAGAAAAACCATCAAAATCCATGATATATTTTCCACTGATCTTTATTGGTGAGATGTGTCTCCTGTACGCAACAAAAAGATGGATTTTTTTTAATCTAGTCTACTTATCTATGACGCTTGCTTGATGAGTTTAAGCCATTTACATTCAGGGTTAATGTGAATGAGTGGGAGAATCAAGATGGCGGAATAGGGTAAGGACACATTTAAACACACGGAGAAACATTTAATCAGGATGAAACAGAGAGGACATATTTCAGGAAATAGGAAAGGACAGAACAACAGCAGAGGGGCACCTGGAGACTGACAGACACAGGAAAGCAGCAGGCACAGCAGTGTGGTGTTGCAGTGACTGATACTCCAGCACAGCCATCTGAACTCCACCAGCAGCCAGAACTCCCCCAGCAACCAGGTGGGAAGGGACCTTCACTGGGAGCTTGGGAGGTAAAGCCAGACAAAGAACTGTCCGTCCTGCTGGTCCGTTTGATTTGACCAGAAGCAGAGACAGAACAGCAAATCTCAGACAAACAGTGCGAGAACACGGTGGATTTCATAGCCCAGTCAGCCCCCTGGAGCTGAATTGGGCGCCATTTTGCGTAAGGAGGAAAGGGCAAGGGAAAGGATGGAGCATGCTCTGAGCTGAGAGTGAGCTCATTTCTGACTCAGTGAACTGCAACAACATGGCATTCTACAGGTTCCACCCAGGGCAGGTCTGGGTAGCCCTCGGATCTGACGGCCAGCAGATCAAGAACTGCAGTGGTGGTAGGTCAGGCACCATTTTGTGCACTGTGGCAATAGCTTTGGGACTGCAGGGACAACAGTGAACTGTGCCTTTGCTGAGCTCGTGAGAACTCGCTGAGGTCCCGCAGGGAAAATAATACCGACTGTGGCATTGTATCAGTCAAAATAGGTTCGTGTGGCACCCAGACCTAACATCCAACAGGTTCCGGCAAGATCAGCGCCACCAGCAACCTAACTGGATAGGACACCTGATGTCTCTCTAAACCTGGGAACTGCTCCAACCGGAAGTGGGAGAAAGGTTGCAGAGACAACGGTGCAGCCTCAGCATGGAATCACAGGAGGTGAAGAGTGATGAGCCAAGAGCTGGGGCTGTGAAGACCACGGTGGAAATCTAACATAAGAACCCAGACCTGGAACTCACTGGAGGTTGTGGCACAAGTGACTACAAACAAGAGCTGTGTACCAACTGCAATAAGTAAAACTGCATTGTAGACCTGTGGGTGACACAGCTTAGAAACCTGCCCCAAGAAGAAGACTCTGCTAACCAGAAGTACAATGACCAAGAGCAAAAGAAGAGACAAAGGCACAATGGATATTACTGAAAACTCCCCTGCAAAGGAGCAAAAGCCTTTGCCAACCTCAGAGTTAACTGAGGAAGACATCAAGAAAATGAGGGATACAGAGTCCATAAGACTCATTTTAAAGATTATGATCAAAAATGAGAAGTTAATGCAAAAGTTCAAAGAATTTAAGGAAGCAGTAAAGCAAATCAAGGCTGGTATATCAGAAATTAAGAACAACTGTCATATAAAGGAATGCCAATTAAATTCACAGGAGGTCTCTCACAGGAAACTCTATAGGTCAAAAGAGAAAGCAACATGTTTCAGTTTCTAAAAGAAAAAATTGTCTGTCCAGAATAACATATTCAGCAAAGCTTTCCTTTGTCTTTGAAAATGAAATAAAATTCTTCCACAGTAAAGAAAAGTTAAAAGAACATGCCTCTTTCAAACCTACCATACAAAGGATGGTTAAAGATGTTCTCTTGACAGCGAAAAGGAAAAGCAATCACCAAAATCAATGGCAAATGTGAAGAACATCCCAGTAAAATAACAATAGAAGACTAAATCAATGAACAACCCATTACTAAAATGACAGGACAAAATTACCACTCATTCATATATTTTTTTACCTTTTATTATTATTGCTATTATTGTATGATACAGTTCCATATTCCCTTATCCCCTTCCCAATTCCCTCCCCCCCCACCTAGTTCCTTTATTTCATTTGTAACATATAGTTCTTCATACTCAGTCATATGTCCATTGTTGCGAGCATGGACAATGGCAGAGTCCAGAATCCTATTGTCAAGATATAGTAAACAGTTTCACTGTAAGTCCATCCTTGTCTGGAAGCAGAAATGCATACTACACTGCATCCTCACATCTGGATGTTAGTCTCCATTTCACAGCTACTATACATTCCCTCAAATGAAAAGTCATGATACAAAATCAACAATAGAAAGAAAAATAGAAATTTACAATGCCATGAAGTTAAATGACATGTTACTAGATATGACAATCTCCATTACACAGCTACTATACATTCCCTTAAATGAAGAGCCACAAAACAAACTCAACATCCAGGAGAAAAAAGAAATTAACAACACCAAGAAGTTAAACAACATGCTATTAAATGACTAACGTGTAGCTGAAGAAATGAAAATCAAGAACCTTCTTGAAGAAAATGATGCCACTGCATGATCTACGAGTCATTGAATGATTTAATCAGAAGAAAGTGTTTTGAAGAGATGAAACCAACAGAAAACAACAAAACTCATGTGATATAATTTCTGTGGATCTTTGTTGAATTGTGTCTCCTCCAGACAATAAACAGATAGGTTTTGTTTTTTAATCCAGTCTACTAATCTATGATGTTTGATTGAGCTTAAGCCATTTACATTCAGAGTTAAATATACATGGATGGTACTTTGGTCCTGTCATTTTAGGAATGGGTTGCTCATTGGTTTAGTCTACTGTTGTTATTTTATTGGGGTGTTCTTCCTGTTTGCCTTTCGTTTTGTTGGGTGCTATTCCTCTTCTCTGTCAAGAGAACATCTTGAAGTATCATTTGTAGGGTAGGTTTGGAAGAGGCAAATTCTTTTAGCTTTTCTTTTTTTTTTTTTTAAAGATTTATTTTTATTATTTTTTCATTGGAAAGGCGGATATACAGAGAGGAGAGACAGAGAGGAAGATCTTCCGTCCGATGATTCACTCCCCAAGTGAGCACAACGGCCGATGCTATGCCGATCCGAAGCCAGGAGCCTCTTCTGGGTCTCCCACGCGGGTGCAGGTTCCCAAAGCCCTGGACCGTCCTCTGCTTTCCCAGGCCACAGGCAGGGAGCTGGATGGGAAGCGGGGCTGCTGGAATTAGAACTGGCGCCCATATGGGATCCCAGGTGTGAAAGGGGAGGACCTTAACCACTGCGCTATCATGCCGGGCCCCGCCTTTTAGCTTTTCTTTACTCTGGAAGAATTTTATTTCATTTTCAAAGATGAAAGAAAACTTTACAGGGTATGTTATCCTAGGCCGATAATTTTTTTCTTTTAGAATCTGGAATATGTCACTCCATTCTCTTCTTGCTTGTGGAGTTTCCTGTGAGAGATCTCCTGTGAATTTAATTGGCATTCCTTTATATGTCAATTGATTTTTTTCACGTGCACATTTAAGGATCTTTTCCTTATGTTCGAT